CAACTTTTCTTCTCCTTCCTCATTTAAAAAGCAACAGTGTAAAGCAAGAACAGGTCATAACAGTGAGGATCCCAGAAGGAAATAGAATTCAACCCCCAGATGGTTCTTTTAAGATTTCAGGGGGCTCTTTGCACAAGTGTAGGCAGGGGTAAGAAAAATGAGGGATGAGACATTTGGGGGATAGCAACATAAGGAGCTTTTACTTCTCCTGGGAACAAAGGTTAGGGACAGCAAGAGGCAAGAAAGAGGGGCCGTCTGCCTACAGCTGTGGTTCTTGGATAGCCCAGGCTGGGCAGAAGGAGGGAGTGGGGAAGAAACACCCCCCATTTTCTCCTCCTGTCCTATCATCTCCTGCTGGTGTTTTCTATCCGCCAAACCTAAGAGAAATTGAAAGGGCAGTGGATTCTGGGAAATGTAGTTTTCAGGACCTGGGGAGCAAACAGAAGAGAGTGGAGATATCTGGAGACAGGAAAGGGAGAGTAACTGCTGTGCATTATAAAAGGCCTCCACACTCTCGCCACTGCCGAGATTGTGTTAACAGTTCCAAAGTGGTTCCAACTTGATCTGGAGGGGCCTTGCACTGTCTGTAAAACCCTGCCCCTCACCTTTCTGAAACAGGATACTCCCCTTTTCCCTGAATCAAATTTAATTTGGTGCCAGAGGTCCCTCAGGTTGGTTTGATGTTCCTTTCTTCTCCTATTCCAGCTGCCAGAAGAATTCTGGCCACCTTGCAACTGTTCATCAAGCTGGGCTGACAGACTTGGAGAAGCCAGGTCACCTGGGTCCACCTGGCTGCGGAGATGTGTCTCATTTTTATCTCTGTGTGGCACTGACTGCTTTTGGTAGGGAGATTGACTTAAAAAATTGGGAAGCCCCTGTCATCTTTATTCCTTCCTCCTTAATTTTTCACACCAGCTGGCAATGATTTCAGCTCTAAGTACCTGGATGGGATGACACAGCCTTTCTCATCCAACTATTTGGTAAATTGTTTTGTGAAAAAGACTAATATTCTCTTGGTACAAATGCCAAGAGAATTTGCCCAAAGAAACTCCCAAAAACCCATCATCTAGATGCAAAGTAACCAAGAGTCTGACCAATAGTTGTTTCATGACCACGGTTTTCCCCCTCTTGAAGTATTTAAAAACTAATTCCAGATAATGTCACCCTCATATTTCAGTACACATCTCTAAAAATGTGTACATTTGTGTTTACAACCTTCATTCGATCATCACACCTGATGGAATATGTTCCCCAAAATTCATATGTTGAAACCTAATCCCCAGTGTGATGGTGTTTGGAGGTGGGGACTTGGGAGTGATTAAGTTGTGAGGATAGAGACCTCATGATTGGGATTGGTGCCCTTATAACAGGGACCCCAGAAGCTCCTCATCCCTTATGTTCTGTGAGTTCACAGTGAAAAATCACCTATCTATGAGCCAGGAAACAAGTCCTTATCAAACACTAAATCTGCCATCACCTTGATCCTGAAATTCCCAGCCTTTTGAACTGGGTGAAAGAAATGTCAGCTATTTCTAAGCCACCCAGTCTATAGTATTCTTGTTCAGCTGCTCAAATGGACCAAGACAACAGCTACAGCAACTAATAGCCATTCCTTGACATCACCCAATACCTAGGCCATTCTTGAATTTTCCTAACTGGATCCAAAATGTCTGTTTACACTGAGTTTCTGTCTTGCCTGAGGGTTTCAGCCCTGGTCAAGTTCACTATAGATTCAGTGAGACCAAGAAATTATAACATAATGTTCTTGGGGTAAAAGGGTTCATACCTGGCTTTATTCTCATGGCAGTAGGTTGAGCACTGGCACTGCGTCTGCATCCAGCAGTCTGCACGTCTGTAATCCACCTCGTCTCTGCGTCCACCCAGAGCAGTGGGCGGGGCTCTTTATATAGTGACTCAGTCTACAACAGTTCACTACTAATTGGTGTGGAAGCACTAGTCTAGCAGTAGGCCAATGACATCATCGAGTAGTTTAGGGTCAGGTGAGGATCCTGGCCAGAGGAACTTCCATTTTTCCCAGTTTCTTTGTTTTGTGTTTGTTTTGTTTTGAGGTATAATTAACATACAACATTATATTCGTTTCAGGTGTACAACATGATTTAATATTTGTATAAATTGCAAAATGATAAGTCTAGTTACCATCACCATACATAGTTACAAAATTGTTTTCTCATGATGAGAACTTCTAAGATCTACCCCTCTTAGTAACTTTCAAATATACAATACAATGTTATTATCTATAGCCACCATGTCATACATTATATCCCCAGGACTTGTTTATTTTATAACATTTGGTTTCTTTGAATCAGATCCAAACAAGGTCCATGCGTCATATTTGATTGTCCTGTCTCCAAAATCCTTTTTATTCTAATCCTGTAGTTCTCAAATTGGAGCCTGCATCAGAATCCTCTGGATGTTCTGTCAAAGCACAGGTGCCTGGGTCAGGGGATTGAAAATGGGGCCCAGGAATCTGAATTCCTTACAAGTTCCCAGGAGATGCTGCTGGTCTGAAGAACACACTTTCAGAACCATTGTAGGTTCTTCTGCTCTTCCCCAGCCCCACCTACCTTTGATTTGTTACAGAAGGTGTGGAATGTTAGGGATAACACACCTTCTGGATTTACTGCCTGCTTCTCTGTGGTCCCTGTATCTTGCCCCTCTCTCCTGCAAGTCACTTGTTCTCAACCCTGGCTATGCATTAGAACCTCCTGGGGGTAGGTTAACAAAATACTCACATCAGCACCCATCTCCCATCTTCTGATTTAATTGGATTGGGCTGTGGCTTTGTTAAGGGAAAAAATGCTTAGATTTACACAGGTGATTCTAAGGGGTGGCCATGGTTACAGCCAAGCATCAGTAAGACAAGGCCCATAGTGGCTGGAATCAGGTCTTTTATTGGGGATTTCAGAATAGTGGCTTCCCTAACTTCTTTCTTTGAGGGGGCGGATTTTGAGGAGGCTAAACTGAATGCCTGTCCTATTTGCAAGGCACCAGTCATTTCCCACTTCTGGCAAGAACACACCTAGTTTTCTTTGGAACCAGCTTACCTCTCAGATTTCACCTCTCAGGTAAACTAGGGGTAGGTACTGATCCCAGCCAGCTAATCAGCATTTTCCATCTCTCTGAACTACAGTCATTGGTTCAGGCATGAGTGTGAGACCCATGCTGGCTAAGGAGACTGGGTTTGGGACTTTGGATAGGATGACAGGGAGAGAGCAGCTCCCCCAAAGCTCATCAGGTTTAGAGGGGGCCACCTCAAGGGGTGAGGCAAGGCATCAGACAGGAAGCACAGAAATCAGAGTTCAGAGTCCCAGAACAATGTGCAAGTCCCTGAACCTAGGGCTCCGCAGTTCATGCATTCACGGCAAACATCTATGGAGGCCTGCTATGTCAGCAACGCACTGTTTTTACTCATGACACTTCTGACACCAACTGTGTGTGGGTTTTCGCCACCAAACAATTCTCTGGCGGCACCAGCTGGGTGTCCTACAGTTCAATTCAATTCTGACACTACCCAGAGTTCGTGGCAGACCTCACAGGTGTAATAGCTCTGTTCCACAAGACTGCCCCCTCTTCAGATGCCAGTTGCAAGAATCAGATCCTCAGGTGATGCGTGCGTGTCTGACTTGGCTACAAAATCGGGGGTTCCCCAACCCCCTTCCTTTTCAGGTTTGATCATTAGAAAGGCTCACAGAACTCAGCACAGTGCTTTAGTTACTACTGCAGTTTACTATAAAGGACACAGCTCAGAAACAGCCAGATGCAAGAGATGCATAGCGCAAGATATAGGGAAGGCGCGTGGAGCTTCCATGCCCTCTCCAGGAACACCGCCCTCGCCCTCCGGGCAACTTGATGTGTTCACCACCCTGGAAGCTCCCCAAACCCCATTCTTCAGGGTTTTTATGGAGGTTTTGTTATTTAGGCATGACTGATTAATCATTGGCCATTAGTGATTAGCTCAACCTCCAGCCCCTCCCCTCCCAGGAAGTCAGGCGGGGGATGGGAACTGAAAGTTGCAACCCTCTAATCCATAACTTGGCCTTTCTGGCGACCAGCCCCATCCTGAAGCTGCCTAGGGAGGGGGGGACCCGAGTCCTCTCATTAGCATACAGAAGACACTCTTAATGCCCCAGAGATTCTAAGGGTTTTAGAAGTGTGCCAGGAACCAAGGACAAAGGCCAAATATTTTTATTTTATTGTGTCAGACAGGAACAGAGCAGGGTGTGGTAGTGAAAAAGATCCCGACATTTGAGGAGCTGATATTATGGTGAAAGAGACACGAATAGTGAAAGTTAAGTGAATAAATTAGATAGCATTTTCAATTCTAAGAGATATGGGCAGGGAACAGAGAGAAAGGGACATCAAAAATCCTGAGGGAGGTGGGTCAACAAGAGGGTGAGATTTGATCAAAGACTGGAAATTGGGGGTGAGTGAGGGAGCCATTTGACTCTAGGCAGAGGGAACAGCCTGTGCAAAGGCCCTGAGGCAGGGGCCTAGTGTGTTCAAATAGCAAGGAAGCCAAAGTGATTGGAGCAGAGCAAGTGCAGAGGGCAACGGGGAAGAGCCCAGGGTAGGAAGGCGACAGGTCAGATCGTGCAGGGCCTTGTGGGCCTCTACAAGGACTTGGGCATTTATTCAGTCAGGTGGCAGCCATGGAGAGTTCTAAGCGTGACTTGATCTGACTTGGGTACTCCCAGCTGCCCTCTGGTGGCTGCTGTGCGGACAGACCTCCTCTCTAGGATTAGTTGGAGCAACACGATCCTCCTCCCTACCTGCCCACCCCACACAGGAGAACCTTCCAGGGCCAAAGAAATGGCCGTGAGGCCCGGCTAGAGGCAGCCCCAGACCTGAGCCCTCCCTAGCTCAATCCTGGATCCGCTGCATCACACATTGGCCCTCGACCAACCATCTACTTGGCTGTGAGTCAACCACCCTCTTCCTGGAAACCACATTTCACTAATGGAAATAAGAGAACAACCACATCTGGGCATAACAGCTTTATTTATTTATTTATTCTTGTGGAGAAAAGTGCATGTCTTTCCAAGTAGACATCAAAGAATTGCCTACACGGGAGAACTACATCCGGGAGCTAAATGACTAGGTGGAGAATTCATTCCGTAGTGTGTTTGGGGATCGTTGAGAAGCCAGAAGCAGAATTGGCGCTCCAACACTGACACCAAATTTTGAAGACCCTTACTCATTTTTTTTTAAGTGGAGTAGGAAGCAGAGACATAAGAATATGATCCCCAGAGAAGCCAAAGAAAGAAGAAATGTAAAAAAATCAGACCCAAACCCCAAGCCATGGTCATGGCGATTTCCCACTGAAACTGTGGAAGGTCAGGTTGCTAAAAACAAATGGTAGGAAAAGAAAAGCAGCACAGAGGAATCTCCCTGGAGTTTGGAAGCGGTTTTCCCATGGCCTTTGGTTCAATTTTTGTTTGTAAACTCAACAAACCTCCATCCCTCCGATTTCGAGGATGCTAGTTTCAGTTCCTCAGAGGCCACCACGAGATAAATCTCCCAGCAAAACATAAAATAAAATCTCATATTATTTTTAGAAAGTACCAAAATATTCTCCTGTGTTATTCCCATTCTTGAGAAAACCCAGAGGTAGCTGTCTTGATTGCTACTTAAAGCTGAACTGTTGAAATCTGTGCACACAGAAAGCTCAGACCAGGTCAGGTACAGGATACATCCAAAGCTGTTTTTTACTGTTTGGTGATGAGGCATCAGCTTATCCATCAGATAAGGGTATCTGATCCACCATTTTTTCTGGCAGGAGCTTAAGGAAAATGGACAGGTCAACAGAATTGACAGCACATGGTGCACTTAAGAAGCCTCTTTACAGGTGTTTTAATTTCTTTTATGTTAAGGCAATGCACATTTTTGACTCCTGCCCCAAACGTTCAGATACTCTCATGCAGGGTGTCTCCAGAAACTGGTCCATTTCACCACTGTCATCTTATCTGTTGGCATACAAAGATATTCTCACGCTGAAGCTCTAAGGGCAGCCCCTGGTAGGAGGTAAATGGGGTCCTCTAGAAATAAATTCAATCTGTACAGGTAAGAGCAACATTAAACTTGAATCTGACCTTCCCCACTCCCACTAGCTGGCTGAGATCTTTAAGGCTACTTAACTTGTTTTCATGGCAGGGGCTAGAACAGAACTGGGAACACAAACCATCCTTTGAGGCCACCCCCATAGTGTCTGTCGAGTTACGGGGTGTCAGTTTGTGTTCTGGGGCAGAAAGAGGCGCCATGCTGCTGGGGTTTAGACTTCAGTTCGCAGGAAAGGCTGCTGAGCCAAGTAGGTGGTTAAGATGTAGGTCCTCAAACTGCATTTATCTCCCAACAGAAGCCCTGGCATTGGGGACCCCAGCCTCATGGGCTCCCCAACAGTGCCTCAACCGCAGAGACGGATCCGCAGCCCAGCCCCCTCCAGTCTGCCCCTCCCAACCTGTATCCATACACAACCCTGCCTTCTAGGCTCTCCTGGCCCAACCCAAAGAATTCCTTGAGTGACTCCCTCATTAACAGACAATGTCACATCACCGATGACATGGCTTGGGAAACAGACCCTGGGTCTTCAAGGGTCCTCAGAGCCTGTGTTCTTACGTTAGAAAGTCGTCAGCGAGTGCCGGCTATGGGAACGTTGCTCAATTTCCTTTTCTAGCAGGATGTAAGATGTGGACAGATCTTGCTTAACACATCACCAGCCAAACAGGGCCTGGCTAAGGTTAACTCCTATCAAAAAAGCCCAAAGCAGGCACACCCCAGGGGCTTGGCGTGTCTCTGCCTGGCTTGATGTGGCCCACTGCTGCAGAATTCAATCCCGAATCAGAGACGCGGTGGGTCAGCCACGACGTAGCAGCGCCGTGGGTGATGTGGGATTCTGGGGAAGCTCAGAAGGCACTTCTGGGGTCTCTGAAGCCAGGGGGCTCTGACTCCCTGTCTCTTTACAACGGGAGCTGCTTTAATACTGTGTTCACAGGCAGAAGACCTGCAGGCCAGCAGGAAGGGGTCTGCATGGGCCAAACCAACTGCCTTGGGGCCTTGAGGGCTGAGGACATTCACAGGCAGGCTTGGGGGCAGACCAGGGGACGCCGGGAAGGAAGCCACCTTCCACATCTCCACAGATGAACTCTGAGGACCCACACTGCATGCGGAGATAGACGAACCATCTCTGGCCAGCCAGTGAACACCAGGCAGGGCCCAACTCGGAATGGACCGGGACAATGGTTCTGACCCAGAAGGCACTGCGGGGGCCCCTCCACCAGGTGGGGTGGGGCATGCTTCTCCCTCCTCCAGTTCAAATGCCTGGAAAGCAGCACACTCCTGCATGTCAACATCCCCAGGCCCTGCCTGCAATGCAGAGCCCCCAGGGGCTGGAGCCCATGAAAGCGGCTGCTTGGGTGGGCTGGTGGCCACAGCAAGAGAATGAACCCTGCGGGAGTCAGGGGCAGCTGGCAGAGGGGAGGGGGCGCCCTGAGCTTGGGAGCAGCCCTTGTGGCTCCCGCCTCGGTCACAGTTCTTGCTGAGGCAGGAGGGGGTGGGCTGGAGACAGGGACTGTGTTTAGCAGCTGCAGCCGCCAGGCTGAGGGGGTGGGGTGTCCCCCAGAGCGGGGCCTTTCCCATTGCTGCCGGGGCTGGAGCTGGGTTCCAGGGACTCATTCATCTTCTCGCAGATGATGTCCACCAGGCGCTCAAAGACCTGTTTCACATTGATGTTCTCCTTCGCGCTGGCCTCAAAAAACTCGAAACCTGGACGGACATAAAGTGGGAGCACCCGTGAGAGCCCCCCCAGGGGGCAGAGCCCAGGCTATGGCATCAACCAGACCTGGGTTTCAAGCCCAGTCCTGCCTTCCACGGGGTTGTGGGACCTTGGCTGAGCCCCGCAGTCTCCAGCCTCAGTCTGCCCATCTGTGAAATGGGGCCAATGCGGAAGCAGCTGTAAATGTGCGGCAGTGGCCCTGATCGGGACTATCCTGAGTGTCTCTTTGCCACAGGCAGTGGCTGCAGGAATCCAGGTGGTAAGATGTGGTGCCAGCAGGCCTGGGGGTGCCCTGGCTGCCTGACACTCAGCTTCGACCCAATGTGTGCTGCCCAGAAAGGTATACCAAGGGTGCCCAGGAAGCCAGATGTCTAAGAGGACTTTTTCAATGGAGCCAAGAATGATGCATTTTCTAGAAAATGCGCTCCACACCAAATAAAACAGCTGAAGACTAGCTTCATGAAGCCTGAAGGCCACCAGTTTGCAATCTCCATGAAGCAGATAAGGACAGGTTTAGTGGAGAGCAGGTGACACGCATGGTTCCTGGCAAATGGAATGCACTAAAAATGGTAATAGCGACAATGACAGTGACCATTACGATAATAGACAGTGCTTACATCATGCTTCCTACATGGCAGGCACTTTTCTGAGCATTTTACATAAATCAACACATTCAATCAGGCTCCGAGGTTTAGTCTATTACAGCCCATTTTACAGAGGAGGAAACTGAGGCCCAGAGAGAGAAAGTTACTCATCCAAATTCACACAGGTAACACGTGGCAGTGCTGGGATTCACACCCAGGCTGTCTGGCTTGAGTAACAACAGGTAATAAATATTAAATAAATATTTTAGATGTAAATTAATAAATCATAATAAATATTCTTATTATACTACCTTGGGCTTCGGGAGGGAAGGCAGACTGGCTGAATCCTTCTGGGGAAAGGGGGGATGCGAGGTTGCTTTGACTATATTCTTGACCTCATAGTGACTATCGTAACTTATTTCTCCTTCTAAAAAAAGCTTGCTTCAAGGGGAACCCTCCCACACTGCTGGTGGGAATGTAAATTAGTTCAACCATTGTGGAAAGCAGTATGGAGGTTCCTCAAAAAGCTCAAAACAGAAATACCATTTGACCCAGGAATTCTCCTCCTAGGAATTTACCCTAAGAATGTAGGATCCCAGTTTCAAAAAGACAGATGCACCCCTATTTTTATCACAGCACTATTTACAATAGCCAAGAAATGGAAGCAACCTAAGTGTCCCTCAGTAGATGAATGGATAAAGAAGATGTGGTGCATATACACAATGGAATATTATTCAGCCATAAAAGAAAACGAATCCTCCCATTCGCAACAACATGGACGGAGCTAGAGGGTATTATGCTCAGTGAAATAAACCAGGCAGAGAAAGACAAGTACCAAATGATTTCACTCATCTGTGGAGTTTAAGAACAAAGCAAAAACTGAAGGAACAAAACAGCAGCAGAATCACAGAACCCAAGAATGGACTGACAGTTGCCAAAGGGAAAGGGACTGGGGAGTGTTGGTGGGAAGGGAGGGAGAATAAGGGGCATTACAATTAGCACATGTAATGTAGGGGGAGCATGAAGAAGGCAGTACAGCACAGAGAAGACAAGTAGTGACTCTATAGCATCTTTATTTACTATGCTGATGGACAGTGACTGTAACGGGGTATGTGGTGGAAACTTGATAATGGGGAGAATCTAGTAACTACAATGTTGCTCATGTGATTATATATTAAGGATACCAAAAAAAAAAAAAAAAGCTTGTCTCACCAAAGGCAGGAGGTGGTGCAAATGCTTTGGGGTTTTAGCCATGGTCTCCCGGCTACAAAAAGTGGCCTGTCAACTTGAAAATAAGGGTGATATGTGATAATCCTTATTGCAACCCTAGAAAGTTGGTTCAGGCTCTGCCTGCAGACAGCTGTCCCTGACTGGCCCCTGATATGTCCACACCTGCCAAAGAGGGCCAGAAATTTAGATGAATACCCACCATATTACACACAAGTACAGGGTACACAGGCCTACATCCCAATACTTGGCATGCTGGACTATAAAAATGCGATTATAATTAAATAGTTATGCATGTGACTATCCATTTATTACCTGTCTCTGCTACCAGAATGCCAGCACCTCTTGGATTTGTTTGCCTTGCCCATGGCTGCAGCCTGGTGCCTGGCACTCAGAAACACCTTGCTGAAAGGTTGAATGAATGAATGAATGAATGAATGAATGAGAAACGAAAAGCTCAAACTCAGGTGTCCTACTCTGAGCCAGTGACAGTCAATGTCACTCATCTTCCTGGTCATGTTTGGCATTTACGTATCTGTGTATGGGTTGGTGTCAAACAATCCGAGTTCTTTTTTTTAAATATACACTTTTCTTTTCCTGCTTATAAATATTCACTGGAGAGATTCACTGGAGAAGTTAGAAATTACTGATAAATATCAAGACAGATATACAAGCTATTTGTAATCTCATCACCCAGAAATAATTACAATTGTTTTTTGATACTTCCACTCTTTTTAAAATATAAAACCACAACTGTTAGGTTTTGGTTTGTAGGGGGTCTGTGTGTACGGCTTTTCTCGTACAAAACTGGGATCAAATTCTTTCTCCTGTGTTGTACGCAAATATTTGAAGCTTAAGGGCAAAGCGATGATCCCCCCCCCAACTCCCAGTCACTAGATAGTCTCTGCAAGAAGGTGTGGTTGACATCTGTGAATATTCCAGCCCAAAGCTGGCTCATAGCTGATTTCACCAGTTCCAGACAAATCGGGGCCCTGGGCGCAGACCACAATAGCTGACTCCCCAGCATACCTGGAAGTAAGACTTAGACTGGCATTCCCAGAAAACACATGGGACAGAGAAGCAGGTTAAATGACACCATGAAGGAATAAAGAGCCAGACTCAAATGGTAGAGATTCCATAGAACAAAAATCCAATTTCTCCAATGTATCGATAGCAAGAAAAAAAAGAGGAAGAGGACCGTTACAGTCCAGAGGCCACAAACTTTCTCTGTAAAGGGCCAAATAGTATATATTTTAAGCTTTGGGGGCCATATGGCGCTCAGAGTTTTATGTAAACATCCATAATAGTTCATAACCATGCTGACAGAAGTGGAAGGCACATGTGCCAGACTGTTGTAACTGCTTCATATGACATAATTCATATGTCATTTAACTCTCATGACAACTGGATGTGGTGGGGCCTATTGTGTCTGCTTCACACATGAGAAAGTGCAGGCCCAGAGAGCTGAAGTCACTGGTACCAGATCACGAAGCAATCGAGAAATAACACGAGTTAATGTTCAATCAGGCTGGCGTCAGCTTATTTAATCGTTCTAACACTCCTATGAGGCAGACACAATTTACGCCTGTTCTGTGCATGGTGAAATGGAAGCACAGAAAGGGGAGGTGATGTGTCTAAGGTCACACAGCTAGTTGGTTGCAGGCTGGGAGTGGACGGTGGGGCTAGGTACTAACCAAGATCATCAGCGAGCCTCCGGCCATCCTCTGCTGGCACGACACGCTCATCCTCCAGGTCGCACTTGTTCCCCACGAGGATGACCTGAGCATTGTCCCAAGAGTAGGTCTTGATCTGTGTGGCCCTGTGGAGGAGTTTGTGAGCCAGAGATTAGGTGTCGGGGGAGAGGTCGAAAGTCAGGGAGTCAGCGGTCAATAAGCACTTACCAGTCCTGCACAGCAGTGAAGGACTCTTGGTTGGCGACGTCATACATGAGCAGGAAGCCCATAGCTCCGCGGTAGTAGGCCGTGGTGATTGTACGGTAGCGCTCCTGGCCCGCCGTGTCCTAGGCAACAGCAGGGTCAGGCAGCTAGAAGCCACCCTGTTCACTACCCCACCTACAGAGACCTGAGAGGGGGGCACCACCCTGGGCTCATAGCACCAGTCTGATGAGTGAGAGATGGACCTGACTTCATAGCCCCAGTCTGATGGAAGAGACAGAGATCTATGCCTATTATCTCCAGTCTGATGGGAGAAACATCTGCCTGCCTGCAGTCTCCGGTCTGATGGGGGAGACATGGCACTGCCCTTGAGGCGTTCCCAGTCTGAGGGGTCAGTGGATTCTCACCTCTAAGAACTAACTTAACAAGAGCCATACACAAGAGCCACCTGGGCCAGAGGGTACCATCTTGATGCAGACATGCTGGTGCTTGTAACCATGACAAAGAGGACCAGCAGCCCTGGGATCATTGCTCAGTGGAGACTCCTGGGCTCACCCCACAGATGGCACCCCAGTCCCTTCCCCATTGGTCACCAGGACTTCTAACCTGGCTAGTGCATATCCTCCTCACACTGATGGTTCATCTCATAGATATACGCCCTTACTCTTCGCACCTACCCCAACCTCCCTCCCTGACTCTGGGCTCCTCACCCTCACTCGGCACTGCTCCCCCACAGGCCTACACCCTCTCGTGGACTTCCCTGAAGGAACCCCAGCCCCTCCTAGGCCAACAGGCAGACTCCTGGCCCTAACCACAGACCCACGAGCAGCCAGCCAGCCCACCCAGATCTGCAGCTTGATCCTCTTGTCGTGGCGATAGACCGTCTTGACCTTGAAGTCAATGCCCACAGTGCTGACGAAGGCGGGCGTGAAGGAGTCGTCTGCGTAGCGGAACAGGAAGGACGTCTTGCCTACACTGCTATTGCCAATGAGCAGCAGCTTGAACATGTAGTCGAAGTTCTGGTCCGCTGCATCCCGAGGGCCTGTCGGGGGGTCTCCAGCAGATGCCATTTGGTGGGGAGCCTCCTGGAGGGGAGGGCTGGAGCCCTGCAGGGAAATAAAACACCAGCAACGGCTCCATTGTATACACCGGACCTGAGTTCAAATCTTGACTCTGCCACTTAGCAACCAAGTGACCCTCTGGGCCTCGACATCCTTCTCTGAAAAATGGGGATGTTTGTCAAATTCAAGTGCCCAGGGTCAGGGGGCATATGGGGTGCCTCCTGCTGGCTCTGAGGAACCAGACCCTACGGAAGGTATAGGTGTGAACTTTGCCCCAGGGCAAGCAGCTGGCATGGGCCAGGTGTGAGCTGGGGGGAGGGGGCCTGCCAGCTGGAGAGAACCCCTCCTCAAGGACGGTGTTGACTTTGGCGGGGGCATCTGCCCTGCCCCTGCCTGAGCAGAGTTGAACTCCATCCCTAACCTCCACGGGGACAGAGGTTTCAGTGGAGAAAGCCCAGTTTAAAGCCCAGCTCTGCTTTATCCCCAAATGGGTACTGCCATCTTCTATTTGTCAAAGGGGCTGGGCCCCACCTCACTCCAGGACAGAGCTGACTCACCCCAACCCCGGCCCACGGAGGCCTGAGTGACAGTCCTCAAATCCAAGGAAACCACCCCAACCGCATAATAATAAAGAACCCCACCACTCCCCACCACCCCTGGTCCTTCCTTCCCTGGCAATCTGTCTCCACAGCTGCGCTGCTCCGTCTGGGTCCAGGACATTCCCCCAGCCCTGAGTGCCTCCCTAGGCCTCAGTTTCCCCAACTGCTCCCTGAGCTGCACAGGGAAGGCTGCAGAAGGCTGGGTGAATGGAGGGCACACCCGCAGAAGAAACTTGGGCAAAGCTATTTCTCAACCGCCTGTGGGCTTTTTTCCATTTTAAAGGCGGGCCCAATCGGCCCCCCTTTCCTGCCCGGCCCTCGGCCCCACCCCGTGTTCCGGGAGAACGAGTTCGAGGAGGCGAAGAGAGGAGGCAGGAAGCCTTTCCCCATGCTGGGCAGGGCCGCCAGGCCCGGGCACCCGCCTTACCCTCAGCCCCAGCCCACCTGTCTGACAGCCGGTCCCAATTCTTTCCATCTGCCCACCTCCCTCACGCCTGGGACTAAGGAAGGGTCCCCGGGAGCTCGGCCCTGTCCCCCTTCGCGATGTGGGGCGCCCCAGCCGGTGCAGGGGCGCTCGGGAGCTTCCTCCCATCACCATATGGTCCCAGCTCAGGTCCCCAGCGGGGCTCTGCGCCCCGCCCGGGCCCCATTAACGCTCCGCGAGGAGCCCAGCTGGATAGAGGGCAGAGGGAAGAGGCAAGCCTCGCCGCCGCCTTTGTTCCCCGGGGCCCGAGCTTTCCTCCCCGTAAACCCCTGCCCCCCAGACCTGCTGGGACAAGGAGGTGCGGGGGCGGCGTGCGCTCCCTCCGAGGGGGTCGCCTCGCGTGGACGCTGCTGCCTGCGGGCGTTCCGCCTCCGAACTTTCTGCAGCCTGGCCCCGACCGCGACCCCGTAGCAGCCGTTGCTGCCGACGTCGCCAACGCCCGCGTCGCCGCCGCCCGCAACCACCCGGATCCCGCGTCGGCTCCGCCCAGCCGGTGGGGGCGGGGCCTCTCCGGGGGCGGGGCTTGTGGGAATCTGCGGGAGGGGTTGGAAGCCGCGGGCCGCGGGTCGTGGTCTAGAGCCTAACCCGCGGTAATAAACTGCATTTTTCCCGAATATTTACAGAGTTTCCACTATGGGAACAGGGGCTAAGATCGTGGACCCTGGGGCCGGGCAGCTCCGCCACTTTCTAGCTCTAAACTTTCGACATGTTAACCTCTCTGGGCCTCAGTTTCCCCATCCATCAAGTGGGTGATAACAAGAGTCCGCACCTTACAGGCTTGGGTAAGGGCTCTGATCTGAGTTGGTGTTTGTAAAGTGGAAGCCTGACCCTTAATGGGCTAGCCCACCTTGTGAAATACTCTTTTAGGACCTTTGGAATTTAAATAGCTTTTTATAGATAAAGAAAGAGGCTCAGGGAGGGGAAGCCCCTTCCCTGAGGCCACATAGTAAGGAAATCTGGTACCCAGACTCAGCTGAGGTCCCAGAATTTCCTTCGTGCCAGCAGGAAAGGATCTGCATGCTTTGCTGGAGTTCAAATCCCAACAACTCCAGCTGAAGCCACTTGCAGTTCAAAGCCCCACAACTCCAGCTGAAGCCACTTGCTGAACTTCTCTGAGCTCACTGTTGCTCCGTGGGAACAACAGTAGCTGTCTCCAGGGGCTACCACATGGATGAACTGAGGTGATTGCATCAGTCAGTAAGGGCTGGTGTGTGCTCAGAAACAAGCATCCCCAAAGTCTCCACTGTACCCAACACCCAAGGTTTGCTTCTCATTCACACTGGTCATTGTAGTGAAGCGAAAACGCAACAAATCACGCACTGGCTTGTACACTTCTCTCTGGAAAGGACCCGCGCTGCCTCTGATTGCATTTCGTTGGTCAAAGCAAGTTCCATGGCCTCCCTCAACATCAACTGGGTAGGAAATAACTGGGGATAACTGGGAAGTTATCCCCTACAGATCAGAAACAGGTATTGTTACAATATATATGGTATGTGCAATAGTCAGCACCATGCTGGGTACATAGCAGGTGCTCAACAAATGGGCCCGTTATAGGAAGGAGCTGCGATAGCTAACACTCCAAATCATCCTGTCACATGAATGGGGAAACGGTCCTCAGCTCCACCCCTGCCTGTCCCTCCCTGCTTCCCAGGTGGAGAACAATGACAGCAGGCATTTCCAAAGAAGCATTTATTGACATCTGGGCCCCCATCAGGGACAGAGAGGCAGTGGGTCCTACAGGTTCCTGAGGCCCAAGGCAAGGCCTGCGAGACAGAGCCCATTGCTCAAGAGGCAGGCCAGATTGCAAAGGGAAGACAGGCCGTGATAGCGGAAGAAGATCTGGCGGAGGGCACTGTATTTGGGGTCCTGCATCCGGAGCTGGCGGTAGGAGTCAGAGGCCTGCTGGCTGCCTGGCACCTCGCTGCCCAGGCCCCGCTCCTTTTCCACAGTCTGCAGCACCCACATGGTGGCCGTGGTGCGAGGTTCCAGCCAGCGAGCATTGATGGCGGCCAGAGTGAGGCTCAGGACTAGCAGGCCGAGCTGGCAGGGGGCGGCAAGAGGACAAGGTGAGCCACCCCTGGGAGGTAGAAGGGCCCTAGGGAGGGTCCTTCAGCATCCTCAGAGTCCAGAGGGGGACAGGGGACAGCTCTGGATCAAAGCCAGGACTCCACTCCTTCTCCAAACCCAGACTGGGGGCCCCAAGTGGGCTCCAGCTCTCTGAAACCAGCCGCTCCTAAAGAAGGGCTCCATCATCATCTACCTATGACCCCCAAAACCTTTTGAGCTTCTTCTCTTCCCATAACCACCCTGGAAGTTTCCAGAACACAGCCTTGTCTCCTCCCCTCCTATGTTCCCCCAAATTGGGAGTATCTGGATGCACTACAACTGTCTTTTATTCCCCCCAAAAAGAGAGCCTAAAACAGGTCTCCTCTATGGCCCCAGCCCAGACCCCAGAAGATGACATTGGACCCAAAGGGAGTGAGTGAAGTCCCTTCCTCCTGGTGGGTACAAAGCTGGGTTCTGGATACCCTTGAGCAGTGCACAGCCTGTGCAACCATCCACAACAGCCCTGTCTCTCTCCCAGTGCCTCTCTACAGGCTGCTGCTCCCTCTCCTCCCCCTTTCTGGGCCTGCCGCCAAGCTGTGGTGACTCAGCTGGGCTGGGGCACTGACCCCAGCTCATTGTTTAAAACCAGCCTGACTGGGAATTTATTTTCCCAGCCACAAGGCCAAGAACCATCACTGCATCTTGTATTTCTCTGTCCTGCCCTTCCCCTGCTGCCTGTATGTACCTCAGATGTGGGCAAGTGAGGCCTGACTGGGGTTTTAAGAATAATCCCATTGAGGCAGGAGAGGATTATGGGTAACTGGAACTTCGAGGCAATTTTTTGCTTGTCTTTTAGTTTTCACAAAGAGGTAGCCATATGTGTTCAGTGGGATCCTGGGAATGAGTACAAAGGAGGTAGTGGAGCCCACATACCTGGCTGGACTCCCAGAATGTGAGCTGAGCCCAGGTGTGCTGTGCAGCCGAGATGCAGAGGTTAATGAAGGCACAGGCCATGCAGATGTGAAAGTAGAAAGGGAAGAGCTTGCTCTGCACGAGGCCAAAAGTATGTCGTGGAAGGCCTCGGAAAAGCAGGAAGCCTGTGCGGTGCAGGGGATCACCCGTCAGAACACTTCGGTTCCCTCTCTCATTCCTGCCCCCACCCGGGCTGCCCATGACATCCAGACCAAGGGTCCCTACCTGAGACGAAGGTCACCCACATTTGCATACCCCAGGCCCCTGACAAGACGAGGAGATGGACCACCTTAATCAGGCTTCCTGGGTTCCCGCCTTCCTCCATCTTGCAGGCCTGGGACGGAGGCACCAGGGGGCTCAGAGGTTTACCTTTGCCCTGTGGCCTTCAAACCCTGTGAGCCTGCTCAAGGCCACGGTCACGACCAATCCAGCAGAGTTCCAGGGACAGCAGCCCAGGAATGGGGGTGGGGAAGGCCATAGCAGTCCTGCAACGAACTCCGATCCCATCTCTCCAAACGTCCGCCCTCAATATCTCATGCTTTCTGGACCCTAACATCCGTGTCACTTCTGAGACTCCCAAATTTCAGCCCAAGCCTCTCAAGCTCGCAGACCTAGTTCTTCAGAGATCGCCCCCAATATCACTCCAGAACCCCAGTTCTAATAACAAGGACCCCTATTCCCATGTCTGGATCCCAGATATCACTACAAAGATCCCCAAAGTACCCCCAGAGGCCCTATCTAATCCTGGGAAACCCCTTATCTCATCCCGAGGACACCGACCGCACCAACTGGACCCGGGCTTCAGCCCGCAGCAACCAGGAGTCCGAGGCCAGAGGCCCCGGAGCCGGGTCAGGGGCCAGGCGGGCTGGGACCGGTACCTCACTCCCGCGCTCCCAGGTGCCCCGCGACCTGCTCAACCGCCTCCCACGGTGGGACAAGAACTCGTCCCGCCTCCCAGCTAAGCTAGAAGCCAATCGGATGGTAAATCTGCCACCCTTAGATATTGACTAATGGCTTAGCGGAAACCAGCCTGAAATCCCGCCCCCTCGTCGGCTTGTATCCAATTATACCGTGGCTCCTAAGATCTGCGGAAGCGAGAGGGCACCAATGAAGCCTTCGGCTGTATCGGCGGGGCGGAGCTAAAATGCCAGCCACACCCCTCTCGTGACTGCCTTTAGAGTCCGTGCGTTTTAACGCGATGGTGTCCCGACGGGATCAGATTTCAGCGTCACAGTAGGGGACTGGCTTTGCGGTCCCTGATGGATGCTTGGGCTGGTGGCATGTGGTAGGTGGGGATGGAATGGGGTCGGGAGCCCGGCGGGTGTGGGATTCTCGCCTCCGGGGAGCCCAGCCTAAGGATCCCGCCCCCTTCCCCCAAGAATTCTCCCGGGAGGGACCACGGGAGCAACAGCTGTGGAAGGGAGAGGGTTTGTGACCGGGACCTGCATGTCCTCGACACTCAGATGCGCCTCTTCCCTTTTCCCGTCCAAGCCTCCCAGGACTACTATGGCCCCCAGGTACCAGATTCTCAGCGTGACATTTAGGGGCAAACTCTGAGCTCCCCGCTACCGTATGTCAGGCACTGATATGCATTAATTTACTTAATCACAATTCGGTAAGGCGGATAGTATGACATCCCATTTTTATAGTTGGGGACACCGAGGCATGGGGAGGTTCAATAACTTCCGACGTCACACAGCTGGGAAGGGGCAGAGCTAGGATTCGAACCCAGGCCAGTCAGATGGAGGGTCTTTTGTTTAATCTTTATTCTGTACTGCCTCTAGAAGTGAGGGCCTCCCTGAAGCAATGGCTCTTGAAGGAGGTAGCCTAGAACATTTCAGGAAGAATAACCCCTATATCACAGGGTGAGTGTGAAGACCCAGTGAGTGCTTAGGATGGTGCCTGGCACTCAGTGAGGTGCTCATAAAATATGAGCTTAAAAATAATTAAGGAAGATTTTATGGAGGAAATGCTGAGTAGGGCTTTGAAGGGTGTATAGGAGTCTTCCAGGAGACCTGGCCCAGGGGAAGGACTAGAGAGGGCCCAACAAGGGCAGAACAAGAGAAAGGCCTGGTGTGTGGCCTTTCTGGCTGAATGTGACCCAGGACATGATGCCCTTTCCCTGGGAGGTTTTACCAGGCAAACCTGCCCCAGGTTTCTCCATCTGTGCCAGCCCTGACTACACTGGACAGTCAGGGGGTGTGGATGTGAGACCCAGAGCTGAGTTCTTTCTTATTCCCCCACCTCTCCCAGTCCTGGGCCCCAATTCAGCTAATTTCTATTAAGTGGACATGCTCTGAGTCTTCTGCTCACGCTCTGTGGCTCCCATTTACCTGGGGAGCCAAGTCCAAACTGCCCCACTTGGCTTTCCCTGCCTTGCTGTCCTGCTAACCTCCTGCAGCTTCCTCCTGGACCTTGCCTCCAGCCATCCTGAATTCACCAACACACAGCACATGGTTCCACACCTCCAAGCTTTGCACATTCTATTTTCTATCAGGAACACCCTTCTGTTAGGGCCCAATGTTAAAACCCTTTTTTTTCTTTTAGGCTCTGCTGAGGCCTCATTTCCTCCTGTGGGGTCTTCTAGGTTCTTCTCACTGCCCAGCCCAACCCCTGGGGCTGGGATCATCTTTCATCCAGCTTTGGCTTCTGCTCTAAGTGAGAGGCCCTGTGTTCAGGGCTGAGGCCTCTCTGGGGAGACAGGGAGGATCTGGGAGTATCGGGACGTGGAGGCTGGTCTCAGTGCAGCTCCCTGTCCTTCATACTCAAAGTGACCCTCTTCTGGCCGGCCTACCACGGGACCCGGACTACTCTGTGCCCTGCTACTGCCCATCTCCCTTGCCTTCCAATGTGTATCTGTTGACAAATATTGGGGTTTGTTGAGGAGCTGTTTGGGGGCTGGGGTGCTGGGAGGTGCTGGAGTCTCTGGGCTGGCCGTCAGGAAGCCCTCACCCCCTCACCCCAGTCACTTCCTCAGATAAGACCTTGGACTGTAACATTCACTGGTCCAGGACCCCAGAGACGGAGATATTGGGGCCGGCTGCTTCTCAGAACACATTTCCGAGGGGAGAACGGAGGCCAGGGAGGGACTCGCGGCCTCAGCCCCATGGGTCTGCCCCCGTCTCCAACCCAGACTCACAGGTGTACTGCAATGACCAGAACCCTCTGAGGAAGAATCAGACCATCGCTAAGGTCATTTGCACCAGGGAACCCTTCCTGCCGCACCTGCATCTGCCTCTGTGGGGCTTAGGGCGGGGGCCTGTGGGGACGGGCGATCCGCCATGTGTTTTCAGCACCCAGAACAGCGCCCAGCACTCCGTGGGCCTGCACTAAAAATGTCTTAAATGAATGGATCAAGGGATGAATGGCAGAAATTTGTGACTGTGTGTCTCAGTGGGATCTTGCCTCTGTTTGTCTCTGGATGTGACTGTCTCTGTGTCTGTGTGGTTGTCGTTGTGAGTCTGAGATGGGCGTGAGTGGATGCCTTTGATCTTACAACTTAGAGTGGGTGGCTGTGTCAGAGCTGTGCTTGTGTTTCCATCACAGTCGGGTGCTATTGGTGTTCCCAGCAGACCTTGTCCATGTCGTCTGCCCCTAAGGAGGTGGGCATTACCTAAGCCCAAGCCAGACACGGCTCTGCAGGCACGTGCGTCAGGGACATCCCACAGGCCTGCACGCAGAGGGGACAAGCCACACACTTGCACTTCTGAGACTTTGCAGGCTGATGTGTGTGTGTGTGTGTGTGTGTGTGTGTGTGTGTGTACATGCACATGTGCCTAGAGGCAGCTTTTCAGGTCTGAGACACCCAGAACTTAGCAGACCCAACTCATGTCCAACCCCCCACCCCATCTGCAGAGTTGGAGTGAGCAGGTTAGCAATCAAGGGATTAATTTCTACTGTCCTCATGCTTCCCTTCCCTAGAAGCCGGTGGAGTCCAGCTCTTCGAAGGTCAAAGGTGAGAATCCTCCTTTCCAACAAGATTGTATGCAGAAGACCTGACAGTTCTTACCTCCACCATCTACCCCAGCCTCTGCAGAGCTTCACCATTGCTGCCCACTCATCCCTGCTCCTGTGTCAGCTGACTCTTGCCCCTGACCTTGTCTTCCCTCCCCGCCCCTGACCTTAACCCTTACTCCTGCCTCTGCCTCAGTCTCAGTGGACCCCTGCTCCCTACCTTGCCCTGCCCTGCCCCCGCCACCACCCTTCCCCTGCCTTGGGTGACCCTCACCTCTACTCACATTCAAGTTTGACATAATTCCTGATGCTCAGAAGTGTCTGCAATGTGAACTGGAGTCACTCAAGAGCCAGCTACAGGCCCAGACCAAGGTGAGCCTCCCTGGCCCCCTACTCAGCAAACTCTGCTCCTGTTTCCCCTGCCCCGTCCCCCTCCTGACCCTAGGCCTGACGTCTTTCCCACAGGCTTTAGGATTCCTAAAGCAGTCAGTGACCACGTTGGAGAAGCAGATGCGCCTGCAGCAAATCAAGATCCAGCAGCTTGAAGGTGAGGACTCTCAAGGGTCAAGTTCAGGCTGAAGGCTGCTCCTGTCATCTGGGTTGAGAGAAGGTTCATTGTCAGGGTCTGGCTGGGGTGAGGGCAGCCGGGTTCAAAGCTGGGCTTAAGGCATGGTTGGGGTTCAGTAAAAGTCCTGCTGACTCTGCAGAGGTGCTGAACGCAACAACCACTACACAGAGAAGGAGGGACGTAAGAGGCATGTGGAGCAGGGACGGCAGGAGCTCTATGGGGCCCTGGTGCAAGGCCTGCAGGGGATGCACAAGACCCTGCGAGACAGGGAGGAGGTGCAGCGGGCCTGCCCCACCCGCTGCCTGCAGCCGCTCGCCCAGGAGATCCGGGACAGGTGGGTGTTGCCAAGAGAGCAGCCTGGAGGCTGTGGAAGGAAAGGAAGGTCAGGGAGAGGGAAGCAAGCTGGGATGGGGCAAGTGGGAGAGGCCTTGGTCAGAGGGCTGGGGGACATGGAAGGCGTAGGGGTCAAGAGGAGTGGAAGGGGGTACTCAGGAGGCTGGGAGTACAGAAGGCAGGGAAGATGGGAAGCTGGAGGCGAGATGTTGGGGGAGGCCAGGGGATCATGAAGCTGGAGGAGGTAGAGGCTGAAGGTATGGGAGGTGAATCGGGGGAAGAAGGTGGACCAATGGAGGCTCAGCCCTAGGAATCTGAACCAATGGAGGCTGGAAGTCAGGAGGAGAGGACAGGGGACTGTGGGGGTGGGTTAGGGAATAGTAGGAGGAGGGCAAGGGTCACAGGGTGGGTGAAGAGAGCTGACAGAACTTGAGAGGATGGGTGGTTGGCCAAATGGGCACATGAGAGGTAGAGGAATCTTGGGGAGGCAAGTGGGCAAATGGGAGGCCAGGAGACCAGGAAATGGGAGGACAGGGTCTGGGCGGGAGTGTGGTCTAGGCTGCACTGTTCCCTCAGAAGTTTCTGTGGGAGGAGCTGGAGCTGGTGCGGGAGGAGGTGATGATCTCCATCTATCAGAAGCTCCGTCAGTTCTAGGAGCCCACGGACAGAAGGGGGGTCCTTGTGCTGCTCCGGCCCCCCTGATTCCTCTCCCCAAACAGAGGCACAGGAGGAGGAGATCACAGAGAACCTAGTGAACATCCAGAAAATGAAGAAGACACCGGTGAAGTGTGGCAAGGTGAGCAGAGAGGACGGGGACCCTGCATGAGCTGGGGATACAGGGATCTCAGACCCTTGTCAGGAGGCCTGGGTTCAAATCTTAGCCCTGCCCCTTGTGCTGTGTGACTGTGAGGAAGTGACTTCACCAATCTGGGCCTCAGTTTCCTCATCTGTATAATAGGTATAACAATACATCCCTACCAGAAGGAGTAGCTGCGTGAACAGAGTATTAAGCACTTTGAAGGCAGTGTGGCATATGGCTAAGTGCTACATATTGTCATCTTTCACCACTGCCATGATTATTGCTATTGCTTTCTCATCCCCCTGGCCTCAGGTCCTGACCAGGATGAAGAAGCAAGACAGTGAGGCATCCAACTGGTCAGACACTGAGGAGATGCCACAAGGAGACAGTGGCTCCTGGAGGGATGACCTTCAGAAGGCGATCAGTGACATATGGTGATGTCTAGCTCCCACTCTAACCTCTGACCCCTGACCTTCACCTTCCCTGCCATCCCCTGAATCAGATCAAGCAGCAACCTGCAGACCCTGCAACCCACCTGAGTCCAGACGTCCGTGTCCTCTCAGGAGGACTCACCTCCGCCTCTGCCCCTGCTGTGGCCCCTTAACCCAGCCCTGAGTAGTCCAGTCTTCTGGGGACCCCAACTCCCCATCTCCCTGCAGGTCTGCTGTGCACATGCTGCAGAAGTCCATTGATGGCCTCACCATGCCCTCGGAGGGGCTGCCCCAGGGCCTTGAACCACAGGGGTGAGAGGGGCTGAGCCAAGCTCTGGGATAAGGGGGTTCATTCTCCAGCTTCACACATGGAGGTCATATTCAGTGGCCATATTTAGAGGTCACATGTGGTGGGTCTTATTCTGGGGTCACATTAAGGAGTCCCTGGAGGTTTAGTCCAGGAGTTATCCAGGGTCACTGGGATCTTTCTTAAGGGTCAGTGGGGGAAAATTCAAGGGTCATTGAAGTCATACTTTAATATCACATTGGGTGTCATTCAAGGGACATGATCCATGGACACTGGCCCATATTCAGAGGTCACAAGGGTCACACTCAAGGTTCATGCATGAAGGCCCATATTTGAACCTGTCCCCTCCTGCAGGCCACAAGGGGCGCTGATGCCAGAGCCCTCCACTCTGCTCATGGGACTCAGACTCCGAATGGGACCAGGACCCTTCCCAGCCATCATTCAGCAAGAGCCCCTCCTTCCCACCTGGTGCGGGTCCTCCCCTGCCCCACCCCACCCTTCCTCGACTGGCCTGCCCTGGAATCCTATAATATGGACCCTCCCAGCCCCAGCCTGGGCACCTGCTCCCTCGCCTCCTGCCCTGTGGTCACTTGGACCACGCCTGGCCTTGACCCACCCTCTCTCCACAGCCTGAGCCGCTGCATCTGCTCTCCCCGAAGACCGCTCCAGAGAGAAAATAAAGTAGCCAAGGCCTCCCCCCGCCTGTGGCCTGTTGTTCCTGATGCTTTCTGTGCCTGAGAGTAACCCGTCCCTCTGCCAATTTTTCCGCAGAAGACTCCAGGGACTGTTCCCGGATGAGTGGGCCTAGGGTCTTCAGACAGTGTGAGGCCAGATTTAGTATATGACAAGGTCAGGGGACTGTCCAGATATGAGTAGCCAGACAAGTTCTTCCACACTAGCCATCAGCCTTCCCTTCTGGGGACTCCTGGAGATCTGGCCTGCAGCCTCTACTTCCCAAATGGGGAAACTGAGGCCCAGAGAGGGTGAGCCTTGGCCCAGGGTCAAGCTGAGACCGGACCTCCTCTTCCCCTCAGTGGCCCCAGACGCAGAGTCCTCCCTCTCAACTTCCATCCTTCATCCCCTCCTGAATCTCTCCTAACAAGCCCCGCCCCCAAGAGCAACCTAGGCCGCGCCCCCTGGTTATGCTAATTAGACTCCGCTAGTCCCCGCCCCACGGGGTTATGCAAATTAGGCTCCTGGTGGCTCCCTCGCGGAGTCTGCGCCTCGCGGCCGGGCCGGGCCGGGCCGGACCGACAGCATCTCCCATCTCTACGTCTGCCTGCCAGGCCAGCCGTCCGTCTGTCCCTCCTCGCCCGTGACGTCTAGGCCGAGCGGGGGCTCAGGTGGCGGCGGCCTCGACCCGGTGAGAGGGAGGGGCTTGGGGCGCCCCCTGTACACCATCTTGCAGACTTCCGACCCTCGGTCGGTCTGTCTCTTTCCCGCCCGGGTTCGGTTCCTGCGGGTGGGGTCCCCTGCGTGTCCAGCGCGGGGAGGGGGAGGGGAGGCGGCGAGCTGGGCTTGGAGACCGGGCTGGGGGAGGGGAGAGTGCGGAGCGGATCGGGGCTTGAGAAGCCGAGTGGCAGTGGTGAGGTTGACTATGGTAGTCAGTATGTATCAGTGTGTGGCTGCATAGCTGTCATTGTGTGGCTTCGGGTGTGTGTGTGACTGTGCCTCCTGTGGCTGTCCTGTGTGGCCATCATGGGTATCACTTTGATGGTGTGTGTGTGGCCGTGTTGTGATTGCTAGCACTGAATGTGTGGCCGTCTTGGTGCATGTGAGTGTCATTGTGTGGCTGCTGTGCCGGGCTCCATCTGATGGTGTGGGGGGGCCGTTTTGTGTTCCAACGTCTGACTGTTATCATGTGCCTTTCTTGTATGGCTGTGTGGCTCTGTGTGCAAGGCTGTCATGATACACGTATGTGACCTCGTGCGGCCATGTGGCTGTGGTTGTGGCACTGTGTCTCTCCTATGACTGTCAATGTGCATGGCTGTGATTGAGTGCCTTGTAATTGGGGGTGTGACACCGTGACCGGTTCCTTGACCCCTGTTGTGTACAGTGACTCTCTTTTTTGATGTGACTCAAGTGGCTGGCAGCCGCGAGTCTCTGTCCCTGGTGGTGGTGGGGTGAGGGCTTGCGTGGGGTGTATGTGGGGCTGTGAGGTATGGAAGGGATCACCTACTGTGTCCCCCTGTGACTGTGTGTTGGGGGGAGGGAACTGTTTGATCTGTGTGGGTGTCTGTGACAGGTCGTGTGCACACTGTGCAGGGTGTTTGTGTGTGTGCAGTTATGTGTGTGGTGGGTGTCAGGCACCTGTCTGAATGAGCAGGGACCCAGCAGGTGTTGGAGCTTTGTTGGTGGGCTGATGGAAAGCTGTGCTATGTTTTGTGTGTGTGTGTGTGTGGCATTTGGGATGGAGGCTCTGGCTGAGCTGTGTACTTGCAAGGTGCCAGCATGTGTGATTATGGCTCTGTGAGTGAGGTGACTGTCCAGGTGGGCAGCTGGAATCAGAGGGCAAACCTCACCCCACATGTCACACCACAGAGTGAGCCGCCTGAATGGGAGCCTGGACCCACAGTGCTTACTTCTGCCTGCCTGGGCCTCAGTTTCCACATCCGTGCAATGTGGGTAACCATCCCTGCCCTGCTGGTGGCCAGGAGCAGCTGTGAGTCTGTGGGCGTGGCGGCGGCCTGTGGGAAGCCATAGGCTCTTTCACAGGTGAGATCAGGCTGGGAGAAAGGGCCGAGCAGTGGTGACTGTGCTGGGCTGGGGACTGAGGTTAGGCTTGGGGGAAGAGGGCTGATGGCCTTCCCCCATGATGCCAGGAGGCAGATGGGCCGGGAGGAGGGGGAAGTAGGGAGAGGCAGAGGCAGCTGGAGCTGGGAGAGAAGGAGGGCCTGGCCGCCAGCCCTAACCAGTCAGGCACAGCTGGTGGGCACAAGAGAGGGCGGCCCCTGTGGGCCCTGGGGGAGGGACTCAGGGGCGGGATCTGGTGGAGGTGAGGGACCCAGCCTGCGATTCCCCCCTGTAAACCATGTGGGGAAGGAGGACGGGGTCTCCTAAAATTAGTGGCTGTAAAGACCCTGCTGAATGAGTCCTTCTGCATGTGGGGGGCCCCCATTAAACTGTGAAAGCCTCTTCTAAAGGGGGTCCCACATTGTAAGGAGGAGAGGTTCCCCTAAAGACATGGGGTCAGAGTCCGTACGTAGGCTGTGGGGGCGAAGACCACTACAGAATCTCTTGGCTCCCGGGCAGAGGCGGAACTGAGCGGGTCCTGTCGGAGGAGGCTCCAAGGAGCAGGGGCGGGGCAAGACCTGGCTAAGCAGAGGTGTGGCCAGAAAGCTGAGGGGGCGGGGCCAGAGTGGGGGTGTGGCCAGAGGGTCCTGCTCCGCCCCTCGGCTGCCCCACTCCCTCCCCACCTCCTCAGGCCCTGCCTTCACCATGGCGGGAGGGAGACCCCAGCTGAAGAGGAGTTTCTCCATCATTCCCTGCTTTGTCTTCGTGGAGGTGAGGAACCCAAACCTCTCCCAGACCCTCCCAGAGTCTCAGTGGGGAGGGGTCCGAGTCCCGCCTGCCTCTCCTCACCACGGGACTCTGGGCACCTCACATACTCCCCCGAGCCTCAGTTTCCTCATAGGTCAGAGGGGCGTAGTTAGGCTCCCTCTCTCCCAGGACTGTTGTGAAGGGAACATGTATCAGTTCATGGAAGAGGTTTAGTATTATTTCTTCCCCTGTTGGTCTGGTGCTCCACCCCCTCTGTGTGTGGGGGGGTCTCTCTCTGGTGTGTGTCCCGCCCGTCCTCACTCTGTCCCCAGTCCCATATCGTCTCACCTCCTCTCTCTGTTCTACTGTTCCAGGCCCTCCTCTTTTTCTCTCCTGCCTTCTCTCATTCTGTTTCCCAGGGCCTGACCCTTCTCTCCGCCCCTTCCCGACCTCTCCCTGCCTCTCTTTTATCTCCCTCAGTTTTGATCTCTTTCCCCATTGTCTCCGCCCCTCTCCTTCACTGTGTGTCTCTCTCCATGGCCCCACCGTGGGCCTGACGCCCTCTCTTCTTCTCTCTCCCTGATCTGACTGGGTGGCAGTCGGTGCTGCTGGGCATCGTGGTCCTGCTGGCTTACCGCCTCGAGTTCACGGACACCTTCCCTGTGCACACCCAGGGCTTCTTCTGCTACGATAGTACCTATGCCAAGCCCTACCCGGGCCCTGAGGCTGCCAGCCGAGCGCCTCCCGCGCTCATCTACGCTCTGGTCACCGCTGGGCCCATCCTCACGGTGAGTCGGGGGGTAGCCATGGTCAGACTGTGGGGAGGACCTCCCAGGAGGGCCAGGTGGAGGTGGGAGGAGGGCTGGGCTGGAAGCCCAGGGAGACCCTGCCTTGTCTTGCCCACAGATCCTGCTGGGGGAGCTGGCCCGTGCCTTCTTCCCTGCACCACCCTCAGCCATCCCCATCATCCGGGAGAGCACCATCGTGTCGGGGGCCTGCTGCCGCTTCAGCCCCCCCCTGCGGAGGCTGGTCCGCTTCCTGGGTGAGTGACGCAACCACAGGTCAGCCATGCAAAGGCATATGGGCCAGGCCCAGCCATACTAAGCATTCCAGGGGGAAGAAGGCCTAGAACTGCCATACTGGTGACTGCAGGGGACAGATAGGGGCTTGGACCGAGGCCAGGAATAATGAAGGTTCCAGAGACGTGGGTGGGGCCTAAGCCAACTATGATGGCAACTGTAAGAGGAGGGTCCCAAGTTGCCACAAGGAGAGTCTCAGGCAGAAAAGGGGGACCCAGGCACAGGCCAAACACCAGGGGACCCAGGGCAGGGAGAGGAGAGCCTGTGTTTTAAATGTGGTCCCAGCCACAATTAGTGGCTGTGGGGAGGAGAGAGGCAGAACTCATCCGAAATGGTGGTCCCTGTGGCAGCAGGCTGGAGATCCAGCCGGGGCTGACTGGGGACCCCAGCGGAAAAGTGGCCATCCGCCCACTAACAGCTAGTCCAGGGTAGGTGGAAAGGGGCCCAGAAACGCCATCAGGGTGGTCCTAGGAGGTCCTGGACATCCCGCTGTAATGCTGTTGAGCAACCCTAGCCTGGCTGTGACAGGGTTCCAGGGGATGGCCCAACCCCCAACATAGCGGTGATCCGAGAGGGACAGAGGCAAGAGTCCAGAGTGCCATCAAGGGAAGAGGGCTTTGAGCCAGCGGTAATGGTCATGGCGTTAGGGGGAGGCTCAGACGTGCTTAATGACAGCCATAGGGACAGGGACACAGGAGCCCAGATAAGCCATAAGGACCAGGATGAAGAAGCAAGACAGTGAGGCATCCAACTGGTCAGACACTGAGGAGATGCCACAAGGAGACAGTGGCTCCTGGAGGGATGACCTTCAGAAGGCGATCAGTGACATATGGTGATGTCTAGCTCCCACTCTAACCTCTGACCCCTGACCTTCACCTTCCCTGCCATCCCCTGAATCAGATCAAGCAGCAACCTGCAGACCCTGCAACCCACCTGAGTCCAGACGTCCGTGTCCTCTCAGGAGGACTCACCTCCGCCTCTGCCCCTGCTGTGGCCCCTTAACCCAGCCCTGAGTAGTCCAGTCTTCTGGGGACCCCAACTCCCCATCTCCCTGCAGGTCTGCTGTGCACATGCTGCAGAAGTCCATTGATGGCCTCACCATGCCCTCGGAGGGGCTGCCCCAGGGCCTTGAACCACAGGGGTGAGAGGGGCTGAGCCAAGCTCTGGGATAAGGGGGTTCATTCTCCAGCTTCACACATGGAGGTCATATTCAGTGGCCATATTTAGAGGTCACATGTGGTGGGTCTTATTCTGGGGTCACATTAAGGAGTCCCTGGAGGTTTAGTCCAGGAGTTATCCAGGGTCACTGGGATCTTTCTTAAGGGTCAGTGGGGGAAAATTCAAGGGTCATTGAAGTCATACTTTAATATCACATTGGGTGTCATTCAAGGGACATGATCCATGGACACTGGCCCATATTCAGAGGTCACAAGGGTCACACTCAAGGTTCATGCATGAAGGCCCATATTTGAACCTGTCCCCTCCTGCAGGCCACAAGGGGCGCTGATGCCAGAGCCCTCCACTCTGCTCATGGGACTCAGACTCCGAATGGGACCAGGACCCTTCCCAGCCATCATTCAGCAAGAGCCCCTCCTTCCCACCTGGTGCGGGTCCTCCCCTGCCCCACCCCACCCTTCCTCGACTGGCCTGCCCTGGAATCCTATAATATGGACCCTCCCAGCCCCAGCCTGGGCACCTGCTCCCTCGCCTCCTGCCCTGTGGTCACTTGGACCACGCCTGGCCTTGACCCACCCTCTCTCCACAGCCTGAGCCGCTGCATCTGCTCTCCCCGAAGACCGCTCCAGAGAGAAAATAAAGTAGCCAAGGCCTCCCCCCGCCTGTGGCCTGTTGTTCCTGATGCTTTCTGTGCCTGAGAGTAACCCGTCCCTCTGCCAATTTTTCCGCAGAAGACTCCAGGGACTGTTCCCGGATGAGTGGGCCTAGGGTCTTCAGACAGTGTGAGGCCAGATTTAGTATATGACAAGGTCAGGGGACTGTCCAGATATGAGTAGCCAGACAAGTTCTTCCACACTAGCCATCAGCCTTCCCTTCTGGGGACTCCTGGAGATCTGGCCTGCAGCCTCTACTTCCCAAATGGGGAAACTGAGGCCCAGAGAGGGTGAGCCTTGGCCCAGGGTCAAGCTGAGACCGGACCTCCTCTTCCCCTCAGTGGCCCCAGACGCAGAGTCCTCCCTCTCAACTTCCATCCTTCATCCCCTCCTGAATCTCTCCTAACAAGCCCCGCCCCCAAGAGCAACCTAGGCCGCGCCCCCTGGTTATGCTAATTAGACTCCGCTAGTCCCCGCCCCACGGGGTTATGCAAATTAGGCTCCTGGTGGCTCCCTCGCGGAGTCTGCGCCTCGCGGCCGGGCCGGGCCGGGCCGGACCGACAGCATCTCCCATCTCTACGTCTGCCTGCCAGGCCAGCCGTCCGTCTGTCCCTCCTCGCCCGTGACGTCTAGGCCGAGCGGGGGCTCAGGTGGCGGCGGCCTCGACCCGGTGAGAGGGAGGGGCTTGGGGCGCCCCCTGTACCCCATCTTGCAGACTTCCGACCCTCGGTCGGTCTGTCTCTTTCCCGCCCGGGTTCGGTTCCTGCGGGTGGGGTCCCCTGCGTGTCCAGCGCGGGGAGGGGGAGGGGAGGCGGCGAGCTGGGCTTGGAGACCGGGCTGGGGGAGGGGAGAGTGCGGAGCGGATCGGGGCTTGAGAAGCCGAGTGGCAGTGGTGAGGTTGACTATGGTAGTCAGTATGTATCAGTGTGTGGCTGCATAGCTGTCATTGTGTGGCTTCGGGTGTGTGTGTGACTGTGCCTCCTGTGGCTGTCCTGTGTGGCCATCATGGGTATCACTTTGATGGTGTGTGTGTGGCCGTGTTGTGATTGCTAGCACTGAATGTGTGGCCGTCTTGGTGCATGTGAGTGTCATTGTGTGGCTGCTGTGCCGGGCTCCATCTGATGGTGTGGGGGGGCCGTTTTGTGTTCCAACGTCTGACTGTTATCATGTGCCTTTCTTGTATGGCTGTGTGGCTCTGTGTGCAAGGCTGTCATGATACACGTATGTGACCTCGTGCGGCCATGTGGCTGTGGTTGTGGCACTGTGTCTCTCCTATGACTGTCAATGTGCATGGCTGTGATTGAGTGCCTTGTAATTGGGGGTGTGACACCGTGACCGGTTCCTTGACCCCTGTTGTGTACAGTGACTCTCTTTTTTGATGTGACTCAAGTGGCTGGCAGCCGCGAGTCTCTGTCCCTGGTGGTGGTGGGGTGAGGGCTTGCGTGGGGTGTATGTGGGGCTGTGAGGTATGGAAGGGATCACCTACTGTGTCCCCCTGTGACTGTGTGTTGGGGGGAGGGAACTGTTTGATCTGTGTGGGTGTCTGTGACAGGTCGTGTGCACACTGTGCAGGGTGTTTGTGTGTGTGCAGTTATGTGTGTGGTGGGTGTCAGGCACCTGTCTGAATGAGCAGGGACCCAGCAGGTGTTGGAGCTTTGTTGGTGGGCTGATGGAAAGCTGTGCTATGTTTTGTGTGTGTGTGTGTGTGGCATTTGGGATGGAGGCTCTGGCTGAGCTGTGTACTTGCAAGGTGCCAGCATGTGTGATTATGGCTCTGTGAGTGAGGTGACTGTCCAGGTGGGCAGCTGGAATCAGAGGGCAAACCTCACCCCACATGTCACACCACAGAGTGAGCCGCCTGAATGGGAGCCTGGACCCACAGTGCTTACTTCTGCCTGCCTGGGCCTCAGTTTCCACATCCGTGCAATGTGGGTAACCATCCCTGCCCTGCTGGTGGCCAGGAGCAGCTGTGAGTCTGTGGGCGTGGCGGCGGCCTGTGGGAAGCCATAGGCTCTTTCACAGGTGAGATCAGGCTGGGAGAAAGGGCCGAGCAGTGGTGACTGTGCTGGGCTGGGGACTGAGGTTAGGCTTGGGGGAAGAGGGCTGATGGCCTTCCCCCATGATGCCAGGAGGCAGATGGGCCGGGAGGAGGGGGAAGTAGGGAGAGGCAGAGGCAGCTGGAGCTGGGAGAGAAGGAGGGCCTGGCCGCCAGCCCTAACCAGTCAGGCACAGCTGGTGGGCACAAGAGAGGGCGGCCCCTGTGGGCCCTGGGGGAGGGACTCAGGGGCGGGATCTGGTGGAGGTGAGGGACCCAGCCTGCGATTCCCCCCTGTAAACCATGTGGGGAAGGAGGACGGGGTCTCCTAAAATTAGTGGCTGTAAAGACCCTGCTGAATGAGTCCTTCTGCATGTGGGGGGCCCCCATTAAACTGTGAAAGCCTCTTCTAAAGGGGGTCCCACATTGTAAGGAGGAGAGGTTCCCCTAAAGACATGGGGTCAGAGTCCGTACGTAGGCTGTGGGGGCGAAGACCACTACAGAATCTCTTGGCTCCCGGGCAGAGGCGGAACTGAGCGGGTCCTGTCGGAGGAGGCTCCAAGGAGCAGGGGCGGGGCAAGACCTGGCTAAGCAGAGGTGTGGCCAGAAAGCTGAGGGGGCGGGGCCAGAGTGGGGGTGTGGCCAGAGGGTCCTGCTCCGCCCCTCGGCTGCCCCACTCCCTCCCCACCTCCTCAGGCCCTGCCTTCACCATGGCGGGAGGGAGACCCCAGCTGAAGAGGAGTTTCTCCATCATTCCCTGCTTTGTCTTCGTGGAGGTGAGGAACCCAAACCTCTCCCAGACCCTCCCAGAGTCTCAGTGGGGAGGGGTCCGAGTCCCGCCTGCCTCTCCTCACCACGGGACTCTGGGCACCTCACATACTCCCCCGAGCCTCAGTTTCCTCATAGGTCAGAGGGGCGTAGTTAGGCTCCCTCTCTCCCAGGACTGTTGTGAAGGGAACATGTATCAGTTCATGGAAGAGGTTTAGTATTATTTCTTCCCCTGTTGGTCTGGTGCTCCACCCCCTCTGTGTGTGGGGGGTCTCTCTCTGGTGTGTGTCCCGCCCGTCCTCACTCTGTCCCCAGTCCCATATCGTCTCACCTCCTCTCTCTGTTCTACTGTTCCAGGCCCTCCTCTTTTTCTCTCCTGCCTTCTCTCATTCTGTTTCCCAGGGCCTGACCCTTCTCTCCGCCCCTTCCCGACCTCTCCCTGCCTCTCTTTTATCTCCCTCAGTTTTGATCTCTTTCCCCATTGTCTCCGCCCCTCTCCTTCACTGTGTGTCTCTCTCCATGGCCCCACCGTGGGCCTGACGCCCTCTCTTCTTCTCTCTCCCTGATCTGACTGGGTGGCAGTCGGTGCTGCTGGGCATCGTGGTCCTGCTGGCTTACCGCCTCGAGTTCACGGACACCTTCCCTGTGCACACCCAGGGCTTCTTCTGCTACGATAGTACCTATGCCAAGCCCTACCCGGGCCCTGAGGCTGCCAGCCGAGCGCCTCCCGCGCTCATCTACGCTCTGGTCACCGCTGGGCCCATCCTCACGGTGAGTCGGGGGGTAGCCATGGTCAGACTGTGGGGAGGACCTCCCAGGAGGGCCAGGTGGAGGTGGGAGGAGGGCTGGGCTGGAAGCCCAGGGAGACCCTGCCTTGTCTTGCCCACAGATCCTGCTGGGGGAGCTGGCCCGTGCCTTCTTCCCTGCACCACCCTCAGCCATCCCCATCATCCGGGAGAGCACCATCGTGTCGGGGGCCTGCTGCCGCTTCAGCCCCCCCCTGCGGAGGCTGGTCCGCTTCCTGGGTGAGTGACGCAACCACAGGTCAGCCATGCAAAGGCATATGGGCCAGGCCCAGCCATACTAAGCATTCCAGGGGGAAGAAGGCCTAGAACTGCCATACTGGTGACTGCAGGGGACAGATAGGGGCTTGGACCGAGGCCAGGAATAATGAAGGTTCCAGAGACGTGGGTGGGGCCTAAGCCAACTATGATGGCAACTGTAAGAGGAGGGTCCCAAGTTGCCACAAGGAGAGTCTCAGGCAGAAAAGGGGGACCCAGGCACAGGCCAAACACCAGGGGACCCAGGGCAGGGAGAGGAGAGCCTGTGTTTTAAATGTGGTCCCAGCCACAATTAGTGGCTGTGGGGAGGAGAGAGGCAGAGCTCATCCGAAATGGTGGTCCCTGTGGCAGCAGGCTGGAGATCCAGCCGGGGCTGACTGGGGACCCCAGCGGAAAAGTGGCCATCCGCCCACTAACAGCTAGTCCAGGGTAGGTGGAAAGGGGCCCAGAAACGCCATCAGGGTGGTCCTAGGAGGTCCTGGACATCCCGCTGTAATGCTGTTGAGCAACCCTAGCCTGGCTGTGACAGGGTTCCAGGGGATGGCCCAACCCCCAACATAGCGGTGATCCGAGAGGGACAGAGGCAAGAGTCCAGAGTGCCATCAAGGGAAGAGGGCTTTGAGCCAGCGGTAATGGTCATGGCGTTAGGGGGAGGCTCAGACGTGCTTAATGACAGCCATAGGGACAGGGACACAGGAGCCCAGATAAGCCATAAGGGGCTCTGGGGGAGGATCACTGGGGGATCAGGGCCCCGTAATGAAGGCCCTCTCCCACCCCACCCCCAGGGGTCTACTCCTTTGGCCTCTTCACCACGACTATCTTCGCCAACGCGGGGCAGGTGGTGACCGGCAACCCCACGCCGCACTTTCTGTCAGTGTGCCGCCCCAACTACACGGCCCTGGGCTGTCCGCCACCCTCGCCGGAGCGCCCGGGGCCCGACCGCTTCGTCACGGACCAGGGTGCCTGCGCCGGCAGCCCCAGCCTGGTGGCTGCGGCGCGCCGTGCCTTCCCCTGCAAGGATGCCGCCCTTTGCGCCTACGCGGTCACCTACACGGCGGTGAGCCCCCAAATGGGGGACCGGTCCTGGGGGGGCGGCCAGCGGGCTGGAGGCCACCTGGGCTGGAGCCTCAGATTCCTCCCTAGGGTAAGGCCGCTCCCTGTCATTGTGAAACCGTCCCCAGGGCAGAGCCTACCCAATGGAGGCCCTGACTCCTCCCCTCGTGCCCTGGCCACGCCCCCAAGCCTGAGTGTTATTGTCTTGACCGCACCTTTGGGGTCTGGCCACCCCTCCTGATCCAGTAATCAATGTCCCAAGGAGGCCATTGGCTCCACCCTTAGGGACCAGGACACTGTCTCTGGCGCACTAGACTCTGTTCCCTGGAGCTTATCCATGACCCCATGATACTACAAGTCATGGATATTGGCTGGGAGAAGGTGGGTGGGCTTTCAACTGAGCCCCCAGAGCCCTTGGAGAGGGGAGGGCCCTTCGTCCTTGCCCTCTGTTGACCTGACCATGACCCCACTTGACCACTGGGTCTTCCTGACTCTGTCCCCTTCTTTTCCCTGATTTGACACCTTTTCCTAGCATCTGGGACTAGCTTTAAATCCTGTCAGTGGTCCCCTGGGTTTGGGGACTATACCTCCTGGAGCTCTTGAACTTGCCCCTTGAACCCCAATTCCACCCTCTAGTTCTGAGACCACGCCCCAAGCAAGCATCTTTCCTGGTGTGTGACTGCCCTGGGAAGACCAGGCCCCAGAACTGTCCACTGCTCTTTGGTGCTCTGCCCACATCCCCGTCCCCGGAAGGACCCACTGGGAGTCCGTGACTCCATCCCCTGAACTCCTGTTCCCCTGGCTCCCTTTCCTGGAGCCCCTGGCCTCAGCCTCCCGCTCCAGTGTCATTCCTGGGGATCCGGCCACTCCCCCTAACCGTGAACACAGTGTCCACTCGGGTTTGGCAGCTGCACCGCCCCATGTGCCCTGACCGGTCTGGCTCCCACAGATGTACGTGACACTCGTGTTCCGTGTGAAGGGCTCCCGCCTGGTCAAACCCTCGCTCTGCCTGGCCCTGCTGTGCCCTGCCTTCCTGGTGGGCGTGGTCCGCGTGGCTGAGTACCGCAACCACTGGTCGGACGTTCTGGCTGGCTTCCTTACCGGGGCAGCCATCGCCACCTTTCTGGTGAGCCACCTTCCCGTCCGTCCCCATATGGCAGACCCTCCATCAGCTCCATGACCCAAGAGGCAGGCCTGCGTGATGGTGGAGAGTATGGACCTGTGGCGAGTCTCTTAACCTTACGCTGCCTGGAGGTTTTCATCTGTGAAACAGGATGATAGGAAGAGGGCCAGGCAAGTGAACCACTCGCTTTGAGCACAGAATTGAATAATATTTTAATGAATCCGTTTTAAAAATCAAAATTAATGCAAACAACACAATGTCCAAAAATACTGAAATTTTAAATGCAGACAGTATCCAATCCTGCTCTTCCACAACTTGGCCTTACTTGCCTTCCCCTTGTTCCCACCCTTTGGACTAAATAACAGTACCTACCTCTTGGTAAAATGGAAAGAACAGTGGTGCCATATAGGAAGCGCCATAAAAATGTTAGCTGCTTTTGGAAACCTGAGCCTCAGTTTCCTTATCTGAAAAATGGGGATGGTATTTATACAACTCCTACTTATTAGCCTCAGGCCTCAACATGCAAAATGCCCTCTGCCCCAGGTCACCTGTGTCCTGCACAACTTCCAGAGCCGGCTGCCTTCTGGCCGAAGGCTCTCCCCCTGGGAGGACTTGGGCCAAGCCCCCACCATGGAGAGCCCCCTCGAAAAGTTAAGTGTGGCCCAGGTAAGGGGGGCTGGGGGGCCACTCCCCGCTGGAGAGGGTGGTAGGTGGAGGGGGACCAGGGAGGCAGGAAGTTAGGCAAGAGATGGGGATCTCAGGGCCATGGGGGGGTTGGACAGTGGCTCATCTCTGCGGGCCTAGGTCCTGGGGGACAGTCCCAGAAACAAGTGCCCATCTCTCTCCCTTCCAAGGGGACATGATTAATCCTGAGAATCCTGGTTGATGTTTCCATTGGGCTTTCTGCCCAATGCGCCCTCTCGCGGTTGTGGCCGGCAGGGCCTGGGGGGCCGCTAGCCCTTCCCTCTGCCTCTTTGTCTCAGGAACCCGAGGCCTGCAGGCCGCATTCGACACCGGCACGGCTCACCCCACCCAGTGAGTGTCGAGGGAGTGGGGGGTAACCAGGGGGGACTTCCAGATGGCAGTCACTGCCGCAGAGGTCTCCCCTATGTTCTCGTGGTCCCTTCCCAAGCTTTCTGATGCCCTGATCTCTGCTCCCTGACCCTCAGAGCCGCAGAACTGCACCCGCCGTGGCCACCTGATCCCCAGCTGCGTGTCCTCCAGGGCTCCAGCCATGTGTTCGTCGCCCCGTGTGCCCCGCCCTCGGTTGAGGTCTGAGCCGACACCGCTGCCCCTGCCCCTGCCTCTGCCTGCACCGGCTTCCAGCCAGGGCCCCTCACCCTCCTCCCCGGGGCCTGGGGGGCCAGGTGGGGGAGGCGGACGTGGTCGGAAGCTGCTGCTGCCCACACCTCTACTGCGGGACCTGTACACCCTTAGCGGACTCTATCCCTCCCCTTTTCACCGGGACAACTTCAGCCCTTACCTATTTGCCAGCCGTGACCACCTGCTGTGAGGCCCCACCACCCACCCAGAACCTACCCGCTCCCCATTTCTCCCCTACCACGCGTGTGTGTGCGTGTGCTGTGTGAGTGCCAAAGCCCCCTGTCCCCAAACCAGCCAGGCCCAGATATCAGAGACTGGCTGGAAGGACATTAGGGGGACCCTCCGCCTCTCTTGTCCTCTGGGACCATCCAAGGGGCATAACTAGAAGGTGGGCCTCTAGGGTGGCTCCTTTAAGGGCCAAAACCTGACCCTATTGGCCACTGCCAGCCAGTGGGAACCCCCAGTTCTCAGAATTCTAACCAAAAGGACTTTACTTCAGCCAATGGGATCCTCCCCCATCAATTCTTAGAATCTCAGGCAGAGGGCAACTCCAGGCAGTGTTCAGCGTCTGAACAACCAGTAGGAGTCCTTGGTTTTCAGAATTTCTAAGGTGGGTGGGTATGATTCCAGTCAATGGGGGACCGCCAATGTCGTAGCACGTGCCAAGGAGAGGAGGGAGGTGGGGTCATCCTTTGTCTCTGGGTCTTCTCAGCATGAGAATGCTCAGCAGGAGGGTGGGGGCAGGCTCCCCCGCGGCAGGGTCCTTGGGGCACCTATTCCTATCTCAGACCCGCTCCCACGTGCAACCTCTCACTGAGTCCCTCCTAACTCCCTACTTACGCAGGGCTAGCCCCAGTTCAGAGGTTTTTGGGGTTCAGGGTGCTGTGCTTCCCCTTGCCTGAGCCTGGGTCACTGTAAACCCTTCTGTTAGTTATTAGGGCTGTGGGAAGGGGCCTGTTTTTCCTGGAACCCACCCCTGTTCTCCACACCGTTCCCCATGCCTCAGCCTCATGCAGATGTGCCATTATAGGGGACCTGGGTGGAACAGAGAGGGTTCCCCCTCCTCAGGCAGCCAAAGGCACTGGGCAAAGGAGACACTGCCCCCCTTTTCCTGCTCCCTCCTCATCTTTAATAAAGACTTGTTTGTAACAGAGGTTTGGCCACCTGCCTTCCTTCCCTGGGTTGCAGGGTAAGAAGAACTTTAATCATGGATCTAGGTGTTGGTGAGTCTGGGTGTGGGTGTGTCTGAGGGCAACTGTGGAAAGGATTGTGGGACCAAGGAGCTAACGACTTGGTTTTAAATCCTGACTCAGTATTTTCTGGTTGTGTGGCCTCTGGAAAGTTACTTAACTTCTCTGCTGGTTTCTTTTTTTTAATTTTTAAAATTTTTGTATCATTAATATACAATCACATGAGCAACACTGTGGTTACTAGATTCCCCCCATTATCAAGGCCCCACCACATACCCCATTACAGTCACTGTCCATCAGCGTAGTGAGATGCTATAGAGTCATCACTTGCCTTCTCTGGGCTATACTGCCTTCCCTGTGTCCCCCCTACATTATGTATGCGAATCGTAATGCCCCTTATTCCCCTTATCCCCCCCTTCCCACCCACCCTCCCCAGTCCCTTTTCCTTTGGCAACTGTTAGTCCATTCTTGGGTTTTGTGAGTCTGCTGCTATTTTGTTCCTTCAGTTTTTGCTTTGTTCTTATGCTCCACAGATCTGTTTTTTTCTTTAACTGTCAAATGTGGACATCCCCACAAAAACACACAAACATGTGGTGAGGGGCCTCACATGACTGTCTTTTCCAGGCATTTGGCCTCCTTCTGACCATGGCCATGGTGCAGAGGGCAGAGGGAATAGGGCCAGGGCACTAAGAATCTCCAAACCAAACCCCTAGCTGCATGGATGCAAGCAGGGGTTCTGATAGTGTTGTTGTGCTGAGGCCCAACCTCTGAGGACCCAGTGGAGACCAGGGAGGGTAGGAGCAGGCAGGCAGCCACACAACAACACCCACCCCTACACCGTGTCTCTGCGGTGCTTCAGATAGGCCATTCAGGATGCCGCGTCATCCAGGAACTAGGAAAGGGGAGTCAGCTTCCCTCCCTTCCTCCTTCATCCATTCAGCACTCTGGAGCAGCTACTGTGTGCCAGGTGCTGTTTAGTTAGGCACAGGGACCGCAGCAGTGAACAGAACAGATGCCAGTCCCTGCCCTCTGGGAGCCCACATTCTACTAGGGAGAGACAGAGAATAAGCAAGGGAAGTATGATAGATACAAAGCCACAATTCCAGATTTCAACAAGGTCTATAAACCAAGATTTCTTTCATAATTCATGTGTGGCAAATCCTGACCTGGACTGACATGTAGTTATTATAGCTTTTATTAACTTGATGTGGGTATCCTTATGTTTTGTTACAGACAAAGTGGTTGATTTTGAGATATTATCCCAGGTCCCACTAGGTGTATTATGCAATATGTAGTATTTATACCATAGTACCATTCACAAATCTGAAAAATTCTGAATTCCAAACTCTAGGTTCAAGGATTTAGGTCAAGGATTGGGATATCAGACATTGATAATGATAAGAACACTTAGCTGGAGAAGACAATGGGATAACTGGAATAGGAACACAGTTTGCACCTTAAAGAGGGTAGTCAGGGAAATTCCAGGCAGAGGGAACAACAAGCATGAAGGCCCTGAGGTGGTAATGTACCTGATGTGTTCAGGGAACAGAGAGGTGTGTGGCTGGAACTGAGCAAGTGGAAGGGTAGGGAGAGGGAGAGGAGATGGAGGAGGTGCTGGGGCTGAATAAATGAAATGGGAGTAGGAGAGGGCTGAAGGCAGAGAAGGGGCAGCGTCCTGCTGCACCGACCAGACCGCCTGTTTCCAGGGTTTGCACACCTAAGACCTGCGGTCCCTCCTGTTGCACAGCTTCTGTGTGCGACAAAGAAGCAAAACTTCAGCACAGAGGACAGCACCCAGAACCGCCCGTCTGGCTCCATCCATGGTCCTGATGTTAAGCGCGGGCCAAGAAAGAGTAAAGTGGGGGCTGCTGGACACAGAAGTGTTTGGCCCTGCTAGAGAGGGTGGAGACAGCAACCCTTGCCTTGCCGACAACCCCACCCCAAAATGGATAGGTAGCAAACCCAGACTAAGGTTACACACTTATTCAAGTCTTCTTGACGTGCCCCTGGGGTCTCACAGCATCTCAAAGTCATTAAAACCGAGCTCCGGTTTTAATATAAATCAGACCATGGCCCCTGTCTGCTCAAACCTTCTTGAGGTTCCTCACAGCATTCTGTGTCAAAGCCAATGCCGCAGGGCGCCTTCCCTTAGAAGGCTCTTCCCCCACGTATCTGCATGGTTCAATCCCCTCAGCTCCTTCAAGCCTTTCCCCAAATGTTACCTTCTCAGTAAGCCTGCCCCTACCACCCTATGCAAAATTGCAAAAAGAAAACAAGTGGCCCTCCCAACTTGCCTTCCCTGTACAAACTTTTTCTGCATACACTTATCATGTGCTTATAGACTATTTAAATCCCTCGTTACGCTCAATGGTCATTATCTCCTTCCTCGCTAGAATGTAAGCTCCACCAGGACAGAGACTTTTCTGTTCTCTGCTCAGACCCACATGCCTAGGACAGGGCCCAGCACACAGTAGGTTCTCAATAAATGTTCATTGAATGAACTAATTGCTTGAGCTGCTGCTAATAAATGAAGGAAAAGCACAGATTGTCCCTGAGCTATCCTTCCTCTAGGGAGCCCCTCTAAGGTAAGCATCCTTCCAATAGTACATGAAGAGGGGATTCTGAGAAGTGAAAGAAGTACTGCATGCACAAGAAATATGCTAAATGTATGCATCTCTGCCAATGTATTCAGCCTATATTTATGAGCACCTACTGTGTGCCAGGTGTTGTTCTAGGTGGGAACCCAGCAGGGAACAAAATATTGACTACCGTGGTGGAGCTGAAATTTAGCCAGCAGAGAAGCTATAAAATAAATTCATAGCATTGGAAGTGATGTTATCTGAAGAGAAACAAATGTGGATAAACAGTTAAAGAGTGAAGGGTGTGTGATTTTACACAGGTGGTCAGGGAAAGTCTCTCTGAGTAGGTGATATTTGAGCAGAGACCTGAATAGGAGCAAGGAAATGTGCCACAGGGATGTCTTGGAGCTAAGTGCTCTGGGCTGTGATCATCACGCTCCTGTGCATGTAACTGTGCATATAACTGTACATGTAATGTTGCAAAGTGAGTTGAATTATGGTTGGGAAGCATTTGACAAGGCAGTGTAACAGTGTGCAGGTTATGTGTGTAGTAGCAATGGTATGGTTGTATCAGTGTATTCTGGTGTTTCACATAGGAAAGTGTATGGGAACGTGAATGTGGAAGAGACTGTGTATGGGATGCTTTGTGTCAAGATAGGGAAGGGCTGTGAGCTTATGGGTGATGGGGATTCTGGAAGTGCAGTACATGCAGAGTCCTATTGTGTGTGTGTGTGTGTGTGTTAAGGGCTGTGGGGGTGCCCAGCTGTGTGGGTGGGTGTATTGGAGCATGTTGTGAAGCCTTTTCCTGGCCTCAGAGGGAGAGAGAAAACCCAGAAAAATCTCAGTTCCGCCCTGTCCCTGGGTCTCCTGGCAACGCACCACTTTGAAGTTACCAGGAAACAGAGTTGCCAGGGTAACAGGGACGAGTGGCAGCTCTGGGGCGAAGCCAGATTTCGCTGGAGCATTCACCTTTATCCTTCCTCTCTCCCAGTTTCTCATCACCCTACCTTCCTTTCTTCATTCATTCATTTAAGGAGCACTTACTGAAAATCTACAATGAGCTGGTTACTGCTCTGGACGCTGCAGATACCAAAGTGAACGAGACGAACAAGGTCCTCGCCCTGGCTCTCTCCCTCTTCCCGCCCAAGTCTCTCTGTGTCTTCTGGCACCTTGTTTGGTCTCTGGGCCAGCTTCTTCCATACCCCAAACAGGATCCACGGAGCCCCCAGGCCAAAGGAAGCCAGTTGAGACCCTTCTTCTAACAGAACCTCAGAGACGGCTACTGGTCTTTTGCACATGAATGTCCCTATGCTTGTGGATACAAAGACGCTTGTGCCCGTAGTTAGGTGAGGAGAGAGACAAGCACACACGCTCCTCCCTCTCTCCCCTTCTCAACTGTCACTGGGTGACATCATCAGAAACACACATGGACACATGCACATCACAATATTCCTGTGAGTTACCATGAGCTCCATTTTACAGGTGCGGAAACTGAGGCTAGGAACTGTCGGTGATTTTGGGCCTGTTCCCTCCAACTCTCAACCCTTACATCTGTCTGATTAGCTCACAACAACAGTATTCGTGCTGCTTCCGTCAGCCGACTCACCCAAGGGAACAGCCTTGTGCCCCTCAAATGCCTCCTTCCTTCTCCCTAAGACACTTATTTGCCCCTACACCAGGGGAGGAGCTAGGCAAAGGCCGATCTAAGTTTGACGGACAGATGTATGAACCACTGGAGAAGCTAAATGCACTGTAACCAATGAGGTCTCTGCTTGGGCAGAACTAAAGGCAGGAATGGGCTGCTGATTGGACAGAGGTATGTTGCAAATGGCGGAGACGCTGAGACGGGTGCTAAGCCGGGGAAGAGCAGCTGGGCCTGGAGAGGAGAACACAGCTGAGGCGGGACCGCCTCTGCTGCTGCTAGGCGGTCCGGGCTCTGGAAAGACAGCGCTGCTGTTCGCAGCGGCCCTTGAGGCGGCGGGGGAGGGCCGGGGCCCTGTTCTCTTCCTAACCCGGAGGCCTCTTCAGAGTCTGCCCCACGGCACTGGAGGCGCACTCGACCCCCTGCGATTACAGGTAACGGGCGGACAGGACTAAAGGCTGCAGCCAGTAGTTGGACGTGTCGGGTATTGAGTGACAGGCATATAGGCCAATGGTGGGGACGAAGGAAGATCTAGCCTGAGCAGCCATTATTGGGCGGAGTCAGGAATGAGCCGGGGACGGGGCCATTCGAAGCATTATTAAGATTGAAAGTCTATCCATAAGAGGCGGAGTTAGCGAAAGGCACCGCCTAATGGGTGGGGTCAGGGGAGTAAGGGGCGGGGCTAATCCTGATCTGGACGCGTGTTTTTTCCAGCGGAACCTGAATAAGTGATGGGGTCAGACCTTTAGGCTAGGGCGAGTTTTCCGTGTAAAGACGGCTAGAGATTTGGCAAAAAGACATGCCTTGTTCTGAACTGATACTGGTAATGAGTCCTGTATAAAAAGGGGCGGGACATAATTGAATATTCGGCCACTCCGAGCTGCTTCACTCTGTAACCAGCTGTCTAGGGAGTGAGCACCTCGTCCAGGAAACTGCAAGGAAGCCCGGCTGCTATACCTGGGAACTTCTCGTATTGAATCTGGCCCTTTCTTTTTTTCCCTCCCTCTAGAAGATCCGCTTCCAGTATCCTCCCTCAACCCGTGAGCTTCTACGGCTCCTGTGCTCTGCCCATGAGATCCATGGCCCAGCCCCCTCTCTCTTGCTACTGGATGGGCTGGAGGAATACCTAGTGGAAGACCCAGGGCCCCAGGAAGCCGCCTACCTGGCTGCTCTGCTTCTGGACACAGCTACCTACTTCAGCCACTGGGTTGGGCCGGGCCGGGACTGTGGGCTCATTGTGACCCTCCAGACCCAGGAGGAGGGAGAAAGTGGAGATGCTCTGCAGCTGTCGCTGTTCCAGCGCTATTTCCCTGCCCAGTGCTGGCTGCGGCCGGATGCACTAGGCCCAGGACAGCATGGCCTCCGGGCCTGCCTTGAGCCAGGAGGGCTGGGCCCCAGGGCAGAGTGGTGGGTGGCTTTCCGACCAAATGGAGAGATGACCATCACCCCATGGCTCACTGAAGCTAATGACCCCAGCTCAGACCAAGGTGTGTAGCAACTGCTCTATGCGTTCTTTTCTCATGGCTGGAATACTTACTCAGGGACATATGCAAATTCAAAGACCTAAAGAATATAAAGTGCTTTTTCCCCTTTAAAAATATCATTTTCATGTACATAATATGCCCAACCAACATATTGTTCAGTTTTGCTGTTTTGAATTTTATAAAGAGTTTTGCAATAATTGTAATCTTTTGCAACTTCCTTCTGCCACTCAACGTTGTTACTAAGATTAGGTCACATTTTTTTAGTTCATTTGTTTTCCCTACTAAATATAATTCCATGGGTGACTATACCCCAATTTAGTCATCAGATTGTCTTAATTACCTCTGTGAACATGCCTGCTTCCATGTCCTGATGCATATGTGTGAGGGTTTTTAGGGTATATACCTAGAAGTGAAATTGCTGGAGCAGAGATATACATATATTCATCTTTCCTAGGTTATATCAAACTTAAAAAGTGGTTAAAACAGAACTCCCATTGAGCCATTTGATGACAGTGTTATCAGAGTGCTTTCTTAGAACAGGGCCTGATTCAGAATAAAACCTAATGAATTAATGTTATTGGCTTTCCTCTGCCTGGATGGATGCACAGCTAAACTACGTTTCCCAGACGTCCATGGGTCTATCTTGGATCATGTGACTGCTTCTGGGCAATGGAATTTGTGAAGGAGAGAGAGACAACTTCTAGGCTAGATCCCTAAAATGTCCCACAGAATCTTCTATTTCTCTTGGCTTGTTGGCTGGAAGAGTGCAGAGGATCCATCTAATAACCCCAGGTTGGCTTGGGGGATGGTGAAGCTACAGACCATGGAGTCTGGGTTTCTCACTCATTCCAAAGATGGCTCCCCACCTGTCTGAATTGAGATAAGAGAAAGGAACCATTTAATGTGTTAAGCCACCCACATTTAGAAATTGTTATGGCACCTGTACTAATTCATTTTATTATGATTATTATTCAGATTGACAGCTCCAGAATTTCAGACTAAGCTCAGGGCCTTTTACTGCCCAGGGAAAAATGGGGCTTACAGGCTGTTTGTAGAAATCGATAGAAAAACATGTATATATGTATCTACACCAAAAAAACTATACATTTAAAAACACTGTAAGTTTGTCCAGAGCAGAAAGCCAAGGTCAGCGACATCCCAAGTCCTGCAGGAGATCTTACCAACCCTGCCTGGTTAGCCTTGAGCCCAGACTAGCACTTGAGGTCGTGCTGGGTCTCCAAGCATCTAAGGGTGGGAATCCTATGAGCAAGCCACATAGCTGGAGGGGGAAGGTTCGGGGGCTGGGAGGAGGCTATTCTCATAAGGGTTGGAGTGGTGGCCATTGGATGACCCTCTCTGGGCTCCCTGGGAGTCTCCTGAGCTGTAATCAGTTGAGATGCCAGAGTCAGACACCACAAGGTACAAATATTTCAGGTGGGGTGGGGTGGGGGGTAGTTCAGGGGGCAGTGCCCTTGGGCGCAGGAGCTGGGAGCTGGCATCTAGGATGGTATACTCAAAGCTGGTAGCTGAGGCCCCCTCTGGCCCAGGCTTTTGGGCCAAAGAGGATGAACAAGAGGATGCTTCTGAGCCTTTGTCCATGGCTGCCATGTCCAAACTGCCACCAGGCTGTGGGAGGGCCTCGCTGGGTGGGCTCCGGGGCAGCAACCACTTGTCCAGCACCAGGTAGGTGTCCTGGACATGCTCACTACCCACCGGCTCCAGCAGAGGCCCCTCATCATCTGCCCCTGGCTCCACCACCTGTGTCACCCCCCAGCAGCGTTCAGAGAGGACTTCCAGGGCTGCAGGTGGGTCCTCTGCAAAGGGGGTACAGTGGCTCCACCACAGACAGCCGTCGTTCTGGTACAGCCACAGCTGGGAAAAGAGCACCAGCATGTTTGGAGACCCGGGTTCAGCCACAGGAATGGGGAAGTCCCAGGCCCTGAGGGACAGCTAGGCCACCTACCTGGAAGTTTCCCTTGTGGGTGGTGAAGAGGCCCTCAAACTCACTCTCAGGGCCTGGGATGCCAGGCCAGATCTTCTGCTTCAGGGCCCTGGTGAAGCCAAGAGAAATGAGTACATAGATGTGTGTCATTGAACACTCAGCAGTACCCCTGAGTAGTCCTGTTCCCTTGGAATCATATAGGCAGATAAGTGCATAGGGGATAAGGAACAGAGAATGACTGAAGCCTCTGCAAAGCCCCACAGAAAGATAAGGATTTTGAAGGATGCATAGGAGTTCAATATGCTGCCTCATGCCCCCTTAAATGTGTCCCAGGCTTGTCTGAAGGTTCATGTTACTTCTCGTCTCTTCTCACTCCTTTCCATGGTTTCCAATACTTTCAGAATGAAATTCAAACTCTTCCCCCCGAGCCCTGCAGAAGACCCTACATGTCTGACCCCTGTTGCCTCGCTCAACTCATCATCTACTATCTCCTCCTTACACACTCTGCTCGAGCCATAAAACTCTTCTTGCAGCTGCTTCAGTGTTCCAAGCTCATTCCCAACTTAAGGTTTTTGCACTTGCCGTTTCTTCTCCCTGCTTTTCAAGTGGCTGCCTCCTTCCAATGTTTAGGTTTCCACTCTGATGTCGCCTCCTAGAGCTTTTCCCTGACCATCTTGTCATGCCCCACACCCCATTTATTTCTGATGTCACTCATCACAATTTACAATCAAATACCTGTTGTTTGTTGTCTGACTCAATTAAGAGTATACCACCAGGTCAGGGACATGTCTGGTGTGTTCTCCACTTTCTCCCCAGTGCCCACCACATAGCTAGCTGGCACTCAGTAAGTATTTTTCAACCAAGTAAATGAACAGGGTCTTGAAAGACAATATGGAGACTGTTTGGTGGCCAAGGCAGGAAGGGCATTCCTGGCAGAAGGAACCACATGTGCCAATGTTGGGGGTGTAAAACCACACAGTATGTGCTGGGAATTACAAAAGCTCAGGATGGCTGGTCATATCATAAGGCGTCTAAGGTGCTTGACAGCAGAGGCAGGAGGCACTCAGGGTTAAGTCTTTCCATTAAATCCATCTGGTTGATTTTACAAAAGTTCATGAAATTGGGGAAAAGATCCAGCAAAAGAATCCAGGAAGGAGCAGCCACTGAGGCAGAAGGAAAACCAGGTGAATGTCCCGGAGGATTTTAACTAAGAGTTTGGGTTTGGTCTGGCTTGCCTCCCAGCCCTGCCACTGATCCTCCCTGTGTGACCTTGGGCAAATTCCTGCCACTCTCTGAGCCTAGGTTTCCACAAGACAGACATTGGTGGGGAGGAGTCTGGGACGAGTGCCAGAACGGACCACTCACCGGCGATGGGAGAGCAGGGCGAGCACAGCCAGCAGCAGCAGGATGAGCACCAGGATGAGGGAGAGCGTCAGGATGAGGGGGTCCAAGTCTGGGGGGCGCAGGGGGGCGGTCAGTACGGTGGGCTTCCCCACGCTCCGCCCCAGCCCCTCCTACATCTCTGCTCGGGCCTCACCGCTTGCTGTCAGCAGCGACGCAGGCTCGGACCAGGCGCTCCAGAAGCCGCCGAAGCTGGGTTCGGCCATGCGCGCGCGTACCAAGAAAGTGTAGCGCGTTCCTCCCCGCAGGTTGCTCAGCACGCACTCAGTGCGGCCATCCAGGATCTCCACCTGGGGGCGGGGTCCGAGGAGAGGGGCCAATAAGGGCGGGGCGGGCAGAGAAAGGCGTTCCGAGAAAGGCAGGACGGCGCCCAGGCCCTGCGAAGGGCAGAGCAGGGAAACCAGGAGGCGGGGCCCAGGGAGGACCAGGGCCAATCATGAAGGGGCCCCAAGGAAAGAGAGGGTGACTCTGGCTACTTAGCAGCTGGGCCAGAACCCTCAGGGTCGGAGCCCTAAGCAGTCTGGAGTTAGGGACTGAAGGGTAGGTTGGGTTGGGTCCAGACGGGTTTGGGGAGGCCTTGGGAAAGGGGACTTGTCGGTAGGTGTGGAATTGTCTTGGGCAACCTGGAAGGGCGAGACCATAGTGGAGGGACAGAGTGGCGTGGCGGGGCTGCAGACCCAAGAGGCTTGGCGGGCCGGGCTGTAGGGACAGCGCTCACCCTCTGCGCTCCACCTGCGGCGTTATGCGCGGAGATGTTCACCTCGTAGCGGATAAGGCTTGCCATCGGGGCCCCAGGCGGCGGGAGCCAGCGCAGTACCACTTGGCCGCCCTCATCCGCCCGCCTGGCCAGCAGTCCCGCGGGGGGATCCAGGAGCACTGCGGGGAGGGGGCGATCACACGGTGGGTGACCACGAGCCCCCTGCCCCGACCACTCCCCCATTCCTAGCGCACTTACCCACTTCGTTTATGTGTATGGTGCGGCGGTAGAGTGGAGCGCCGGAGGGGGCAGCTGAAACCAGCAGCTCTAAGGGCACGAAGCTCGACGTGTCGGCCGTAGGCAACGAACACCAGAAACGCACCGTGCCACGGGCCGTGGGCGCCCGGCGCAAGCGGCACGGCTTCCTTGGCTCACCCCTGTGCGCCAAGGGACCCAAAAGGGGAGGGAGCGAGTTGGGGGCAGGGCACGCGGAGTTTCTACCGTTTGGACCACTGGCACACTTTGGACACCACCACCAGGAGGCGTCCCAGCTCCGCTGTACGCGACGCCCTAGTCCCGCTCTGGAAGAAAGAGAGGGTGACTCTGGCTACTTAGCAGCTGGGCCAGAACCCTCAGGGTCGGAGCCCTAAGCAGTCTGGAGTTAGGGACTGAAGGGTAGGTTGGGTTGGGTCCAGACGGGTTTGGGGAGGCCTTGGGAAAGGGGACTTGTCGGTAGGTGTGGAATTGTCTTGGGCAACCTGGAAGGGCGAGACCATAGTGGAGGGACAGAGTGGCGTGGCGGGGCTGCAGACCCAAGAGGCTTGGCGGGCCGGGCTGTAGGGACAGCGCTCACCCTCTGCGCTCCACCTGCGGCGTTATGCGCGGAGATGTTCACCTCGTAGCGGATAAGGCTTGCCATCGGGGCCCCAGGCGGCGGGAGCCAGCGCAGTACCACTTGGCCGCCCTCATCCGCCCGCCTGGCCAGCAGTCCCGCGGGGGGATCCAGGAGCACTGCGGGGAGGGGGCGATCACGCGGTGGGTGACCACGAGCCCCCTGCCCCGACCACTCCCCCATTCCTAGCGCACTTACCCACTTCGTTTATGTGTATGGTGCGGCGGTAGAGTGGAGCGCCGGAGGGGGCAGCTGAAACCAGCAGCTCTAAGGGCACGAAGCTCGACGTGTCGGCCGTAGGCAACGAACACCAGAAACGCACCGTGCCACGGGCCGTGGGCGCCCGGCGCAAGCGGCACGGCTTCCTTGGCTCACCCCTGTGCGCCAAGGGACCCAAAAGGGGAGGGAGCGAGTTGGGGGCAGGGCACGCGGAGTTTCTACCGTTTGGACCACTGGCACACTTTGGACACCACCACCAGGAGGCGTCCCAGCTCCGCTGTACGCGACGCCCTAGTCCCGCTCTGGAGGGGTGTTGTCCCAGCCCTGATGTTCGGGGTCCCAGCGAGCTCAGCCTCTCTCGCCCGCTCGCCCCTCCCCCCGCGGGCACGCTCCACCTGCCCCACGGGACTCACTCCAGCTGGTAGGAGAAGCTGTAGTTCTCGGGGCCGACCCCTGCGCCTGCTGCTTCCTCCCAGAAACACACCAAGTCCTCCAACCGCTCCGTGAAACACAGAAGCTCTTCAGGCCGGCGGGCCGCCAGCAGGGCCGCTGGGGGTGGGAACGAGGGGAGGGGGTCAGGGAAGCCGAGCCACTGTCCCCGGGCCACAGCGTCCTCCCCCTCCCTCCCGCTGCCTGTGAGGGCCGATAAGACAAAAGGCCTTCCCGATCTCTACCCCAGCGGGGCCCTGCGAGGGGTCCGCAGAGATGGTGCCCCCCGACCTCCCAAGCGCAGGTCACTTGCCTTATTATCCTCTCCACCCCCACCGCCCACCCGCGACCTGCTGGACTGCGCAGCGTTCAAGGCCTCTGCTTCCCGCTGCCAGCCCCGCCCCAGCCCGAGGCGTGCGTGCCCGTGGATGTGTGTGCAGGAGGCGGGCCCCCTATCGGCCCCCGCAGGCTCCCGGCTGCCCGATAGCGCCAACCGTGCCCGCCGACAGAGCAAGGGATCTGGCGCCCGCGTGCAAACCGTGTTTACAGTCGCCAGCGGCCCGGCCTCTTTGACTCGGACCCGGGCTTCATCTTCACTCCGCCAATGGAGGGTCTGCAAAGTCCCCTCTCATCGGGCACTCTACACTGAGGGATTAACACCCAGCACCACGCCCGCCCCATTAGTATTTTGCGTGTCCCAGGCCCCCTGAAAATATAAAAAGGAACCTTCTGCCCCTTTCTATCTTCTACCCCAGAACCCAATCTGGGCTCTTAGACCCCGGTATGCCATACCAGGTCCCAGACTAGGGGTTCAGCCATCAATTTGGCCCCCAGGACCTAGACTTGGAGGTTCAGAACCCGGGATGGCCCCCAAGACCCAGTGCAGGGGTCTCCACACAGATCCATCCTTACCTTTACTTTCAAAATTGGGGTCCGGGAAGTTGGGCTGAGTAGCCCAGGCAGCCCCAGCGAGCAGGAGACAGACGGAGCCGACTCCAGGCCAGAGGGGTGCCCCGAGATGATCCATGACGCAGCCCCCGCCACGGGGGGCCCAGGGCTCCTGCCCCACCTCTTCCGCCCCTGGCACAGTCCACAGCTGGGTCAGCAGCTGCCTCCGCCGGACACAGCTGACCAGGCCCTTCCCGGCCAGGCGCCTCCAAGTGGCAGCTCCCCCCGAGGGGGCGGGACCACACGCAGCCTGGGCTGAGATAAGAGCGAGCCGTCAGCCCAGCCTGGCCCCCGCGGGAGGGGGCAGGGGCCCTTTTGGGCCCCGCCGCTGCTTAGGGAGCGGGAACAGCTAGGCTTTCTGCCTCAGACACCCGTTCTTGCTGTGTGACCCGGGACAGGTGACTTACCTTATCTGAGCTTCAGGCTTCTCATCTGTAAAATCCGGCTTGGCACATTAGCAAACATTCCAGCAATGCAAGCTACTGATATTATCGTGGTGATGGACATGTCTTCCCAGTCTGGGTAGGAATATATCAAAATGCTAGTAGTGACTAGCGCTTGAATATTTGCTCAGTGCTAAGGCAGGGCTGCCAGACAGTGAGTACGATATGATCCTATATTTGTAAAATTACATATTCCTGAGTGTGAGGTTTCATTTGTGATGTTTCGGGGGGAAAATTTTTTTTTACTGCTTATAAATTCGATACTCTTGGGATTTGATTGTACAAGGACTGTGAAGTTCCTTTAATAATCTGGAAAGCAATTATGGAACCATAAAAGCGATTCGCTTGGCCTGAGCTTTGGAAACTGGGGTAAACACCCCCACCGAGGAACACGCCTCGGGGAGGAATGGATACCCACCTGGCTGCGCTTGCCAAAACTAGCCAATCAAAGCACTTCATTCCCTCACGCACAGCGATTGGTTCAGGGTGGGCATGTGACCACCCTGGATCCAGTGAGCTTCCACCCTGGGACTTCACCTGGAAGCACTGGAAAAGGTGTGCCGCTGTGTTTTGGGCCATAAGGTAGGTGGATATAATACCCAGAGATATCCTTGCCAGCTGGAGGGAAGAAATTGCCAGATGGTGACGCTAACACAGACGTTTGCACTGTTACTTCCCTCTACCTGTAAGTCTCTTCCTCTCAATATTCACAGGGCTCACTCTTTAACTTTATTCAAGCCTACTCACATGTCACCTCCTTGATGAAGCCCTCCCTGATCGTTCCATTTAAAATGGCAACCCTCCCAACCCGCACTCCCCATTGCCCTTAAATGTCTTGTTATTTTGCATCTCCTGTGCTTATTATCGCCTAACATGTGTTGGATGTTTTAACGTTTTGTTATTGATTCGCTGCTTTTACTAAGCCTTTAGTTCACTTCTGTAACCCTAGCATCCAGAACAGGGTCTGGCATGCAGTAGGAGCTCAAGTATCTGTGGACTAAAAGATTGGAGAAAGACTAATTGAAGAGATGGGAAGAAACATCTTAACGTTAGTCATTGGATACGGCTATGCCTTAGTAGCCCTGCACTTCTAAAAGCCAGAAGTGAGACTCTCTCCCTCAGGAAATCGGCATTTAGACACGTGCGAGAGAGGTAGGAGCTGGAAGCTGTGATTATGACAGGCAAACTAGCCCAATGGTCAAGTGCACGTGTTCTGGCACAGGGCAGATCATTCAGGTTTGAACTCCAGCCTTGCCACTTAGCAGACCGCTTGGATACCTGAATCCTCCCTAGTCTCTGTCCTTCCTGTATAAAATATGCATAATAATAGTGCCCACTCCATAGGGCTATTATGAGGGTTTAGTGAGATAAACTAGGTCGAGTTCTTAGAACAGTGCCTGGCATTTAGTAAGCACTCAATAAGGATGATAATTGTTTTTAGTTTAATTGAACTCTAATTGGCATGCTACACTATACAGCGGTTATTTGCTTAAGCTAGTTCAGAACGATATGGTCCCTTACACTTGACTGGTCCTAAGGACTTAATACTCATAACAAAAAGTCTGAAAACTAGTATGTTTTTGTTTTTTTTTTATCAGACCCCGCGTGATGCTTAGATTCATCTGTCTTCTCTCCCAAGCCAGGTAGTGCCTGGGCATCCAGGGATTATAGTTCCAGGGACAATGTTTAGAATCCTTTGGTTTTTTGTCAATGCACCAGAATTCTCCCTTCTCCTAATAACAGCACCCAAATGTAATTTCCATTATGTCCCTCCCAGACTCCATTCCTGTGATTTGAAGTGTCTCTGCCAGTTCAAGGAATGTGGCCAGCCCCCAGATGTAGCCAATCTTCATTTTACAGTCCTCTGAATACAGCGATTGATTGGCTCATGGGTGGCCACATGACATCGGTTGGTCCAATGGGTGTCTCCTCTGGAACTTTTGCCAGACCTGATGGAAAAGAGGGACTCTCCTTACATGGAAAAGTGCAGCTGGTGGGATGTCAGCCTGACACTGCCCCCAGAAGGTGTGAGCCTGCCTTGGAGTGAGGATCTGTTAATTTAAATGTTCTTTGGATTACTGTAACAGATGCAAATAATGGTGGCTTAAATAAGATAGACATTTATTTATCTCTTATGTAACAATCCAAGAGACAATACAATACGGGTGTCCCCTGCTCTTAGAGGACCAGGCTCCTTTCAGTTTGCTGCTCAGTTATTCAGAGGATGTGAACCACCCAATCCAATATGATCCACTCCACCTCTTCACTCTAACTAGCAGGAGGCAGAAAAGGGGCAAGGGAAGGACAAGCTCTTCTTTAAGAGCAGGCCCCAGAATTTGCTTACATCTCATTGGCTAAGAGTCACATGACCACATTTTGCGGCAGGGGAGACTGGAAATGTGGCTTTTACTCTGGATGGCCAACTAAAAAAGTCAATGGTTTTTATAACCACAGAAGATGGTGCTTTGATTTATGTGGGGTATAACTGATAGTCTCATTCTCAGAGCAAATCAGAGCCAAGAGACAGCAACAAGATCTTGACATCTTTCAAGTCCCTGGATTCAACTGTACCTGAAGCCAGCCCCACTGAACTTAATTGGCGAGCCTTTAATTTCCTTTCTTGCACATGCTTGTTTGAATTGGGTTTTTAACCACATGTAACAAAAAGCATCCTGATTAATACAGTGAGATGTACACCCCTAGTTGACGTCTGGCACAGAGTAGGAGTTCATAAGTGGGCACATTATTTTGTTGCTGTTGTTACAACTGCACAGGTGGCTGTAACACCTTACTTCATCTCTGCCTTCTCTACCTGTTTCTTCTTGCTACCCAAGTACTGATAAACAGCTCACCCTCTCCTTCCATCTTCTCAGTCCTATTGACTCATGGGTGATGCTGTTGTCTATGAATCCAACAGAATCTCATTTCTTCGCTCTCCCATACACATAGCATAAGAGGCCTCACCCCCAAAATGTTGGGCAATCCTGTACCCTCTATATGTGACAGGGCCCCCCCCCCAACCCTGGTGACTGGTCATGCCTCACCTAAACCCTTTTTTTTTAATTTTGGTATCATTAACATACAATCACATGAGCAAAATTGTGGTTACTAGATTCCCCCCATTATCAAGTCCCCATCACATACCCCATTAGTCACTGTCCATCAGCGTAATAAAAGACTATAGAGTTACTGCTTGTCTTCTCTGTGCTATACTGCCTTCCCCATACTCCCTCCTACATTATGTGTGCTATTCGTAATGCCCCTTATTCCCCTTCTCCAGTCACCCTCCCCAGTCCCTTTCCCTTTAGTAATTGTCAGTCCATTCTTGGGTTCTGTGAGTCTGCTGCTGTTTTGTTCCTTCAGTATTTTTTCTTTGTTCTTATCCTCCACAGATGAGTGAAATCATTTGGTACTTGTCTTTGTATGCCTGGCTTATTTCACTGAGCATAATACCCTCTAGCTCCATCCATGTTATTGCAAATGGTAGGATTTGTTTTCTTCTTATGGCTGAATAATATTCCATTCTGTATATTTACCACATCTTCATTAGCCATTCATCTACTGATGGACACTTAGGTTGCTTCCATTTCTTGGCTATTGTAAATGGTGCTGTGATAAACATAGGGGTGCATATGTCTTTTTGAAACTGGGCTCCTGCATTCTTAGGGTAAATTCCTAGGAGTGGAATTCCTGGGTCAAATGGTATTTCTATTTTGAGTTTTTTGAGGAACCTCCATACTGCTTTCCACAATGGTTGAACTAATTTACATTCCCCACCAACAGTGTAGGAGGGTTCCCCTTTCTCCACATCCTCACCAGCATTTGTTGTTCCTAGTCTTTTCTATGTTGGCCATCCTATCTGGTGTGAGGGGATATCTCATTGTGGTTTTAGTTTGCATTTCCCTGATAATTAGCTATGAGAAGCATCTTTTCATGTGCCTGTTGGCCATCTGAATTTCTTCTTTTGGGAAGTATCTGTTACCTAAACCCTTTCTTGAAGCTCTTAGGTTGTTTCGGTTTTGGTTTTTAATTTGTATCTTGAAGAGTGAATGTGGGGTACAGGCCCCAAACAGACCAGACTGACTCCCAGTTCATGAGCTTGAACACCACATGTGTTGGTCCTGCTGCCGATTTCCAATAGTTACAAGATTTCTCTTTGGAAGGCTCTGACCCGCCAGGGCCCTAGCCCCTAATACATTTAGGAATGAAGCTCTCTAGCGGCCACGCCGTGGGAATAAAGAGCTAGTGCCAAGGGGGTCAAAGGGATGGGGTCCAGTGGGCCAGAGTTGGCATGTGGTAGGGAGGTCATAGGTTAAGGAGCCAAGTGAGCTTCCTGGGGGATAGGAGCTTTTGGGAAAGTAGACCTCTCCCCCACCCCCACCATGGGGACAGAAGCTGCGGCCCAGAATGCCCAGGGGCCTGTGTCCTAGAGGGAGGAGAGGGCCCCCTCAGGTTGGGGACCTTGAGGTTGTGTGCCGGGCCCCCTCCTTCTGCCGGAGCACGAAATCTCCAGGGGCGGCTGGACTCATGGCATAGAAGACGTTGGCATTGTCAGGAATCAGGAGCTCTGGCCGGTGGGGGCGGGGTAGGGGGTGGAGATGAAGGTGAAAAGTCCTGTGCCACCTCATCCTTGCCCCACAAAGGACCTGCTGCCGTTCACCCTGGGTCCCAAACAAGCCTGGGTGCCTTCAGCCAGGGCTAAGCCAACCTCCCTTCCCTCTCACTGGGAACCCAGACAGCTTCGCACTGGAACACTGCACAGCCTCATGGCCCCCCTCCACAGACCTGGGCTATGTCATGTTACCTCCCCCTGGAATCCAGACAAACTGCCTGCAAGCTTGGCAAACTCAGGGCACCCATGCCAAACTACTTCCTGCCCACCTGCCCTGCCCGCCGCAGCCAACTCCCAGCCAAATTCAGGTTGCTCTCCCCATGAACTTGGGCAACTTCTGGCTTCTGGCTTCCAGCCTACACAGCTGTGGCCCTCACATTTGACACCTGAACCCCATATATTTCTTCCTAATGTCCAGCCAACCTCATGGCCTGTGCTGAAGCACGGCGATCTCCTGCCTCCCCCTCTTGAAAACTGGACAACCTCCTTTCCTGTCTCTACCCTGAACAGCCTCATGCTCTCCTACCCTGAATTTCCATACTGTGTGGCCCTCTCCCATGCCAAGTTCAAATAACTTCAGAGTCGCCATGCTGGGCCTGGACATACTCCCATCCCCTCAAATCCAAGCCCAGACCCCCTTCAGTCTTGCACCCAACCAAGGTAAGCCTGAACAACCTCATGATTCTATAAATTCAAGCCCAGACTCCATCCCTCCTTCTCCCATTTGACCCTGGACAGTCTCATTTCCCCATAAATCCTAGGAAGACACCTGTGGACAGGTGCCAGGACAACCACATGACCCACATTGAGATGCAGATATTTCACTGCCTCTGACCCTCCTCCTGCCAGGACCACCTGACCTGTAGCTGGCCAGTCAGCCCCCCTGCCAGCTGCCCCCCAGCCCAGCCTCCAGGGTGTCCTTGCTCACCCCTGTCCCCAGGAAGGACTTGGAAGAGCTGGTAGTCACGAGCCCAGGGCTGGGCCACGTTGTGCTTTTGCAGGGCCCGCTGCACCACGCTGGGGGCCTTGTCCTGACTAGTGAGCTGGGAAGAGAACGTAGGAGGTGAGGTGTGACAGCTGAGCGCCAAGGGCAGGGCTGCCTCCAGCAGATTCCCGGCCTAGCCCCTCACCAGGATGCTCCGATACAGGTTCCCATGGTCGTTGTTGATGCTGACGCGGATGACGCGGGCCTCTGAGCCCTGCTGCCCCGGGAGGGGGGCAAGAGGGCTGCTCAAGGGCAAGGCCTCGGGGCTCAGGGGCAGCTGTAGGCAACAGAGGTGGGTGCTGAGCAGTGGGAAGGTCCCTCCCTCATTGTATCCAACAGCTTGGCCTCCACACCCAGAGCCTGGGGACACACGGTCGTACATGCACAAGCCCACATCTATACAATCCCATCACATACAGAGCTTCACACGCTGTGACACAAATTTACACCTGGCTGATAAACATACAAACCTGTGTTCGCACACATGAAATCCTGTGTGTACAGAGAGCAGTGGGTATATGCACAAGCCCATAGCTGTGACAGCCCCACATCTGGTGGTGTGGGCATTGTCAGTATTCATGCCCGTGTTTCCCCTTTAGCTATATAGATTCCTGGGGACATATATATCATCACAAAATTGTGTGAGCACACCCTGAAGTGCCCCATGGGCAAGTGGTCGCACGGGTCCAGATCTGAGCACCAGCCAGATGGAGGGACAGTCCCTCAAATGGGGCCATGGAGATGTACACTATCTCCTGGATAGATGCCCAGAGCGCTCAGGCGAATGTAGGCACTGTCTCCTGTGTACACACCTGGCCCTGAAATCCTGGTGACATACACACTCACACACACACAACCCTGCACAAGTACACACGCAGTCCCCTGTACCTTGGCGCTAGGGCTCTGGGGCGCTGGAGAAGCCAGGGGACTGCCAGGAGGAGGATCCTTGGTTCTAGGACTGGATGGAGGGGACCCCGGAGACAGACTGGGGGAGACATAGAGCCCAAGGTAGGGTGGCTCCCCACCTCTGACCCTGCCATCTCTAGTCCCTTTACCAAGTGGGATGCTTACCTGGAGGTAGGGGATGAGGGGTCTCTGGGACTCTCACCAGGGGATGAGCTTCTCTCTCGGGACAGCTTCCTAGACGAAGGGACAGAGGATGAAACTCAGTCCCAAGAGCAGCCCCCACTCTGCCCACATCTCCCCTGAAGCACACCCCAAGACTCACGCACTGAGGCGCTTGGTGAGGCTGATTCGCCGCCGGATGCGTGGGGAGCTGGGACAGGAGGCAGCCGGGGGCTCAATGACACGGGAGATGCGGTAGCTGAAGGGTCAAGGTGCATGTGGAGAGATGGGTTGGGGCCAGGAAGCAGCAGGGGATGACAGAATGACTTAGAATCAGTCGCAAGCTGGATTTTGGGTGTGGGGAGGAGCAGCCAGGAGTTGGACACTAAATGTCCATGTTAAGATATCAAATGGGGGGTTACTATGGCATTAGGGTCTTATTAGGGATAAGATGGGATGGCCTGGTTAGCAGGTCACACAGGGATCCAAGGGATGGCACTCAGGAGTCAAACTGGGTCAAGGATAGAGTTCAAGGACAGGTAATCATTGGGGTCAATGGTTAGGGTAATGGATTCAATAGAACGAAAGGAAACAATTGGGATAATTGAGTTCGACGGTCAAATATACATCAGAGCTGGAGTCCGTTACTCAGAACTGGGGTCAATGACTAGGCTCAAGGTCAGACGAAGAGTCAGCCTGGGGTCAGAGGTGGGAAAGAACCAACAGAATGGTTGAGTGGAATGGCCAGCTGCATGTTAAAGGTGGAAGCCGGAAAGTCAGAGGGGTCAAAGATTGAGGTCAGCGGTCATCAGGCCCGCGACTGGGTTGCAGACAATGTCAAGCTATAGGTTGAGGGGCTCAGGGCTCAGGAGGGGGTCTTAGGAGGAGGTGGAGAAGTGCACAGGGTAAGTGGACCTAAAGAACACTCTGGGGTCAGCCTGGGCCACGCTGCAGGGTGATCACCTCTGCTCCTCGCTGAGCTGGCGCTGGGCACGCAGGGCAGCCAGGATGGGTGGGCAGGGGCTCAGGCAGTAGCTTCGACAGCGCCTCTGCAGGTGCTGGATGCGGGCCAGGATCTCCCACTCCTGAGAGTGGGTGGCTTCTGAGACACCCCCTGGGCCTGCCTCCCCTCTGGGTACCCCCTCCCCCAGTGCCCATCTCAATGCCTACTCACCTTCCTCCTCTTCTCAAAGTTGATAAGATCTCCCTGGGGGCAAAGTTTGTCTGAACTGGAGCCTCCATGGTCAAGGATCAAGGGCCAAGGGCAGGGCTGGGAGGTCAGGAGCCCCACTGTGCTAAGGGGGCTGAGGTCAGGAGTACAAGCAGGGTCGGGGAGGAGTGCCAGGAGGCCCACTGAGCTGAAGGCAAGTGGTGCTCGGGTGAGGAGTCCAGGGTCAGGGGTCAGACCTCCAGTGTGTCCGGCAGGGCAGTGTCCAGCATAACCAGGTCCGTGAGAAAGGTGCCAAGGTAGGGGACAGGGCCTGGGGGTAGTTTCTGTGACCCCCAGAGCTCCAGTCAGTCTTAGCCATCACTGACCCCTCATATTCCACACCCCCTGCCTGAGGCTCCTGCTTGTCCCCCCATCCCAAACTACCTCACTCACTGAAGACAGACTTCCTGGGGGGGCATCTTCCTGTTGGGGACCTTTGGTGACCTCCTCCTGGGGGGAGAGGAAGGATTGAACGGTGCTGGACTCTCTGACCCCTTGTTCAGGGAAGGTGCCTCAATGCACAACATCTGACTTTCAGCCATCGTACACCAGTTGCACAGGCCATATCCACAGGGAAGTGAACGGGGGCAGTGGGGGAGGGGGCAGGCAGGCAGCAGAGGCAGGCCCCACCTATGGCCCCCAGGGCCGGTTCCAGCACACCTCAGAATCCTTGTTCTCACCTAAATGGAATAGGCCTGCTGTCTGATCCCCTGGAAATGCTTTGAACCCTGCCTTAATAGCATCCCTCTGCCTGGTAATTAATTAGATAATTGCTAGAGCATTCTTTACTGTGCTGTATGTCTCTGGGCTGGCGCGTGAATGCCCCAGGAGACAGAACCTTGTCCTTCTGGCTCAAGGTGGAGCCACCAGGCAGTGCCTGGCATACAATAAGTGCTTAATTCCTTGTTTTTTGGGCTCTCATCCTATTTGAGACGGTCATTCGCTCACAGATGCTTATCGAGCAGCAGCTCTGGGCCAGGGCTGAGGAGGCAGCAGTGAGCAAAACAGCCAAAATCGTGGCCTCGGGGAACAGACATTAGCAAGGGAGAGACAGCAACAAGGAAGCTAAGCACATAAGGTTAAGGACAGGCAGAGATGGGGCCGTAAAAGAGGGGGTGGAAATGCAGGAGAGGGGACTCTGGGGTAGAGACCAGCAGGAGTGAACGTTTGGGGCCAAAGGGACAGGTTTCATATTCCATCTATTCTGGATTCCCACTAAGAACCAGAACCTAATTGTGATTAGAGCCTAAGCTTTGCCTATAAGAAGTCAGATTTGGTGGCACACATTTTTCAGTTTTGCTTATCAACATCAAGTCCCCAGCACAATTTCTTTTGCCCACTCTTTGCTGACTCTGGCCTCCAACGACCTTTTCCCTGTTACTGCTGGTGTTTGTTTAATGGATAAATAAGGTTGCCACTGAGGGTGAGCTATAACGAGGGCGTTGGAGCTGACCTCCACCAAGGGGAAGGTCAGTCCTGGGGTGCAGGGAAAGGGCAGTGACCGTTATGCCAACGACAAGGTCCCCCCCTCCCCAGGCCCGGGTTTTTCGGAGGGCAGAGCCGTGTGTACCTGGGACAGAATCTCTCTGCTGCTGAGGTGGTTGTTCTCATCGGAGAAAATCTGCGAAAGTTTCCGGAAAATGGATAAGGGCTCCCTGGGGGAACAGGAGAGGGGTTAGGGGTCGGCAGCCAGGAGGGTGAGGGCTGGGATGGGGTGGGGAAGAGGTCCCGCCCCAGAGGCTCCCCAGTCCTCACTCACCGGCCCACGGCGCCCCAGCTGCTCTTGAGCCTGTAGATGGGGTGAGACTGCAGGGCGGACAGGATGGCGCGCAGGGAGGAGAAGTTTCGCAGTTCCCGGCAGCGCTGGGGGGCAAGATGCGAGCGCTGGTCACACCCCAAGGTACGACCCACCTTTGATTCTATGACTTCTGACCCTGGGTCACACTCCACATCGGACAAGCTGTCAAGAGTCAGCCTCCTGGAGCCCAGGAGCGTCCCTGCTTCCCTGCCCCTCACTCCCTACCTTTGACCTCGGCTTTTCCAGGTTCCCACTCCTCATTTCTCCCGGAATCCCAGACACACCCACAGCATCTCTTTGGGACCCAGGCCCTCCTCCCCAACCCAAGTCTCAGCACCCTCCATCAACCCTCTACCCCACCCCTCCCCCTTGCCCCGTCCCCTCTTTCCCGGCCCCCATTTCTTTCTCTTCTCGGCCCTGAGTTTCCTTTCCCGCCCCCACTCAGTCTCTTCCAGGACCCCCGCCCCCTTCTTTTGGCTTCGGCCCCTCCCCAATCCAATTCCCTCTCTGTCACTCCCCAACCCCAACACACACACATCCCCTGATTCCTAGACCTGCCCGGCCTTTCTCTGCGGTCCCAGGTCCCATCCCTGGGCCCCTGACTTCCCTTTATGCACCACCGACCCCCAAACCTCCCCTGATTCTCAGACCCGGTCCTCTGCCCCACTCCACGCCCCCCTTCCGCCCCAGCGCACCTGCGCGATGCGGATCCACTTCTCCAGCCGCTGCGCCCTCTGCTGGGCGGCCAGGCCTGGCGCCCCGAGCACCGAGCCCAGCACGCAGCCAGTCACCGCGTTGAACTGGGTCACGGTGGCGCGAACGGTGGGGACGATGCCCGCGGCCCCCGGCCGATCCCGCTGTGACCACACCGAGCCCAGGCACTCGCAAGGCCGCACGCGCGAGAAGAGCTCCTGGGTGGAAGTGGATGGTGGGGTGGGTGGGTGAACTCTGTGCTCAGCAGAACTTTTCCCCCAACAACCGTGCGCTGCCCAGGTCCTCACCACGTCCATCAGGGTCAGCTGCTCGGCCACCTCGTCTTCATTGAAGTCCAGGAGCTCAGGGCTTTCCGGCACCAATTCCTCCTCCTCTTCTGAGCAGCTTTCTGGGAAATCTGGGAGTGGAGTGCGGGCAGCTCCAGAAGGTCCTGAGGGAGCATTAGAAGCAGTTAAAAACTTCAAGTGTGAATCCAGGACTGCCTGGGTGACCTTAGACAAGGCCCTTAGTGTCTCTGAGACTCATCTGCATCTCTACAAGGGAAACCCCCTGAGTGTTTTCTGGGATGTCAGAGCAACAGTAACGTTCAGTGAGTGTAGAGGGTAGATTAACTCGGGAATTTAGAACACTAACCCAGGGAGGGGATACTTTTATCCACCTTCTATGGGAGCCAACACCAGGGAGGAACAATTTGCCCTAAGTCGTACCTTCACTAAATGGTAGGGCAGGGACTTGAAGCCAAGTGCTCAAATGCTAGGGTAGAAATGAGAGTTTTTTGACTTTTAACTTGTAGAGGGTCTGTCCTTATGGTGAGAGGAGGTATAACTTTGTGGGGAATGGAAGGCTATTGCCAGAAAGTCCCAGGTTCAAATCCCACTCGTCCACTGGGTTTGCTATCTTCACACTTCTCTCTGCTTTAGTTTCTTCATCTGGATTTTTTTTTTTCTTAAAACTCAAACAAGATCATGCACACAAGACTGCTCTAAAGTGCTCAATAAACATGATTTTACCATAGTGCATTTGGATGGTGGCATCCTCTAGAGGACATTTTGGAAGTTGGAATATTGCTGAAGAATTTGTGCCACTGCGCCTTCAAATATCCAAGAAATTTGTGTCCTTGGAAAACCTATTTATAATAATCTGTACCTAGAACCCAACTCTCTTGCTCATAAACGTTGTTTTTTGGCTCCAGGAATGCGTGGACCTTGAAAGTTTGGACTTTTGCTTCCTTGGAAAGTGCAAGTGGTGTTCACCATTTTGGAGAGTGATGTCACCAATAGCTATCCTACTGTGTGTGTGTTACTAGCACATACCTCTGTATTGGTTTGACTGTGGAATTCACCACGAAGCTACAACAAAGTCTGGACAATGTCATCATGTCTCCTGGTGACACATCAACAAGCATAGTTTATTGTTGCATAAATTGCTTCCACTTTATTTCTCCTTCATATTACAGTTACAGCATCATATTATTTTTAAATTATCTGTGTAAGTCTGTTTCACTATCAGTCTTCCATTTCATGTTAGGACAGGTGGCATTGCACAATATTAGTTTTAAAAGTGGGCACTAGTGAAAAAAACTGCCTCTAAATCTAATAAAACCTTTAGCTCTTGCAGTAACTATGGGGGAGAGAGGAACATGCTACACGTCACCACAAGAAAGCAAACAGCTACATGGAGAAGAATGTATTTCTCAGGACCAATGACCCATATTTTTCTTAATGGCATTACACAAAAGGCAAAGGTGGATTGTCATAGAATAAAACAGATCAAAGAAATGAACAACCAAATGCCTTCAGTGTTATCTTTGGATTTTGAAGAACAGCTGTAAAAAAGACAATTTAGAGGCAATGGGGGATTTGAATCTGGACTGGCTGTTTTTTCTTAATTTTTTAATTTTGATATCATTAATGTACAATTACTTGAACAACATTATGGTTCAACTAGACTCCCCCCATTATGAAGTCCCGCCCACATACCCCATTACAGTCACTGTCCATCAGCATAGTAAGATGCTGTAGAATCATTACTTGTCCTCTCTGTATATACTGCCTTTCCCGTGTCCCCCCCCTACATTATGTGTGCTAATTGTAATGCCCCATTTTCCCCCTTATCCCTCCCTTCCCACCCACCCTCCCCAGTCTCTTTCCCATGGGGCTAGACTGTGGACTGTGCAGCTCTAAGGACTTGAAATCTGCTGGGGAAATGCTGAACGGCTAGGGAAGAAAGACACTTAATAGGCAGGAGGGAAGATGGAGTGATAAAATATATATAAAACTGAGCATTTGTCACCAAGGAGGAACAAGCGGCTGCTACTTTGTAAAGCAGAGAGGAACATGGCCACTTTAATCTGAGGATTAAAGGATGGAGATTAGGGATTTAGATACTTTTGTGATAGGGATCAGATTGAACACAGATGGGTGAAAGAGGATACTTGATAAGTAGGACGCAATTATTCTGTCAACAAATGTTAACTGTTCTTGTCCATGCAGACAAGACCAATGAGAGCTATGCAGAAAAATAAGGCATGCTAAGAGGACATGGCGTGGGAGGGGATCAGAGAAGTCACATCTGAGGAAGTGACAACTGAACAAAGACCAGAATGAGGCATGTGAATATGTTCCCCTCCTCCCAAATTTCTTTATACTAGAGTTGAGAAACTCTTTCTAAGGAAGACCACAGAGTGTGCCAACACCCACTCTACCACATATTATCTGTATGGCTTTTTATGTATATTTCATTATAAATGTTAGATTTAAATAAGTAAGAATCAGTGATAACAGCAATGAAAGTAATACTATTTGCCCTTATTGTTTTCTTATTTACTTGTTTACTGATTTTCTTCCTCAGGGAACTAGGAGCTCCTGCCCAGTGTTACAGGCCTAGAGCCAATGGCTAAATATTTAAGTGAATAAAGATGCCAGTGGGTGAGTACTGTTATGGCCCCCATTTCACAGAAAGGAAACAGGCTCAGAGAGGTGAAGTGACTTATTCAAGGTCACACAGCCAGCAAATGGCAGAACTGGTATTTGAACTTTGGTCTCTCTGGCTGCCAAGGTAAGTAGCAATGGAATGATTTGTAGCTAGAAACACAGGGCATCCTGACCCAATAATGGGATATCTTTGTCTTTAGGATGGAGGTGGGGCACTAGACAAATGCTAATACATTAGACAAAGGATTAGTATCCCCATTTTACAGGTGGGGAAACTGAGGCTCAGACAGGGTAAAGAACCTTGCCCAAGATCTGTAGCTCTGTGAAGGGAGGAGGCCCCTGGGACAGGAAATATGCAGAAAAGGCCTGCTCAGGACCCTCTCCATGCCCCCAACCCCTTACCTGCCCAGGTCTGGGGCTGTTCTTCTTCCTGTTTTCCTTCATCCTCCTCCAGGAAATCTCCCAGCAGCTTTTTAGCCTCCTGGGCCTCAGCCCCTGCTGGGGCAGCCCAGCCCAAGAAGGTGCAGATACTGCCTAGGTCCGAGTGAGCAGGGGGGTCGTGGAAATCCTGAGGGTGGTCCCGAAGCCAGGAGCCCAGCACCGATACCACAGCCCTGGCCAGAAGGGCAGCCTCAGAGCCCAACCCCAAGCTCTGGACCTTGGGGGCCCCTGCAACTCAGATCCGACCTTTGACCTTTAGGACCCCCTCAACCCCCATGGGAGACCAACCTTAGGTTCTTGTTGAAGCTCAGATCTTGTCCTTCAGTCTTCTTGATCTCTACCCTGGGAAGAGCCCCTCAATCAGGTGAAGAAGAGAGGGTTAGGGGGGATTAGCAGGAGGATTCTGGTGGGGGGATTCCTGGTTCCAAAACGGAGGGAGTGGCCAGTAGAGGGGCTGCAAGTGGGAACCCGGAGGTTTCCCTTTACTACTGACCCCGGCGGCAGGGGCGGCGGCTGCGGTGGCAGGAGAAGGCCCAGCACGCGGGCGGTGGGCACAAAAGCTCGGTGGGTGGCCAGAAAGGCAGGCACAAAGCCCGGGTCCTGCTCGCGGTCTCCAGACACCAGCTCCCGCACCAGCCGATCCAGCCGCGCCGCCCTCAGCGCCCGCACCTTGCTCGTGCGGTAATGGAGGAAGGCGTCTGCAGAGGGACTGGTGGTCTGCAGGGAAAGGGGGCAACAGTGGAACACGGAGAAACGGTCCCCTGAGCACCCCTTTTCCAATCACACCCATGGCTCGCCCCATCCTGTGGTCCCGTCCATTCGTCTGACTCCCGCCCCCTCCTGGATTCATTATTCTGACCTAATGACCCTGTAACCCCCCCAGCACCCATGGCCTTCCATCCTCGCCCTCTGCCCCCGCTCACTCCCCGTCCCGCCACCCCTTTTCCCCCGCTGCTCCAAGCTCTGCAGTAGCGCTTCACAGGCCGTTCCTGGTCCCCGCTCTCACCTGGCTGCTTCTAAACACCGCCCCTCCCTCCAGCTCCGCCCCACTAGACCCTAGCTCACCCAGGCCTTGCGGCCCAAGTTCTGCCCCCAGGTCTCGCCCCGGCACCGCGCCCTCCGGGCCCCGCCTCATTTATCTACACCCATTCACTTGGCAGTCCCCAGGCCCCTTTCTACACTAACCTGGCGCCTCTAAGCCCCGCCCTGCCTCGGGCTCCCGCTCCGCCCCTCCACTCCACCCTCGCCTCCTCCCCTCCAGGCCCCGCCACTTAGTCCCTCCCTCACCTGGGCGCCTCCCGCCCCGCCCCGCCCCGCCCTCCAACCCCTTTCTCACCTGGCAGCCCCCAGGCCCTCCCCCCGGGCTCCAGCGCTGACTGAGCTGCCGCCGCAGGGACACGCTGTACACTGCTCCCTCCTCGGTCTCCTCGCCCCAGTCCTGCAGCGGCGCCTGGACGCGGACTCGGGCTCAGGGCGCCGTGGGGGAAACGGTCCCCGGGTCCTTGGCGCCCCCTTCCCGCGCAGGCTCAGGCGGGACCTTCTGGCTCCATCCTCCCCGCTCCACCGCTCCCCCCGCGCCCACGGCGGGCTCTCCGGCTAGGGAAGCCCCCTCGGAGCCACAGGCACCCTCCCTCCCTCGTCCTGAGGATGCGGCGGCATTTGGGGTGTCCCAAGGCCCAGTCTCGAGGAGTCTGTCTCTGGGCCCTACCGCAGAGACGATTCCCCAGCCCCTAAGAAGAACTAACTCCTGAATCAGGGGCTGGGAGGACCGAGGCAGGGGCTCCCGGGCCGGTCGGGAGGGTTCAATTTGCCAGAAGGCGGGGAGTTGGAGTTTCTGGACGTGAGGGGCGCCAGAGACATGGGGTCCCAAGACTTCCGGCTCCCTTACCAGGGTGAGCTCCTTGCTTGCTGTCCGCTCCATGGCCCGCGCCCGTCCCGCTCCGCGTGTGCCTGAGTGAGGCGGAAGGGCCAGCGGGCGCAGGGCCCTGGCCGGGAGCCGGGGCGGGGCGGGGCCGAGCAGGGGCGGGGCTGGAGGGACCCACGGCTCTCGGCTGTCCCCAGTCGAACCCCAGCGTCCAGCCCAGGGGAGAGATTCCCGCTCTCCCTATAGATGTGTATCAGTCAGTATCCAGGGGAAAGGACATCCCTCGCCCCTGGGTGTGTGTAGCTAAGTGGGGAACGAGCCTCCATCCCCTGAGAGTGTTCTGACGTCAGGGAGGCTGGTAGGTCCTGGGTGCGGCGTATCTCCTGTTTCTCTGGAGGAGCAGGGGGCCTCAATCTGTGCCCCCAGATGATGGAACACGTCACTCCCTTGGCTGGAGGGGGCTAAGTCTGCAGCCCTGGGTTTGGGAAGGTGCTGGTTAAAGAAAAGGCGAATACTCTGGGGATTGCTCGGTAACCTTTATTGCGCGATTTCGAGGCAGCCGCAGACCCGTTGGGAGATTTATCGTGGGAACGTCTGGAGGCCTGACTCCCTTTCTTTTCTCCGGGCGCCACCAGCCGCCTCAGCTCTCTTGTCCCTGCCGCGTTTAGCCTTTGACGGGTTGGTGGGCCCGCGGTTGGACCCAGAGGGATCAGGGGCTCCGCTGGGACCCGGAGGGGGCCCGCCCATCTTGCTGCGGGATTTTATCAATTTCTGGGAACGCCTCTTGAGCTCCTCGCGGGTCAGCACCTCGTTGTCTTCATCCTCACTGTCCTCTTCGTCTGCGGAGGCTGATGAAGGGACTCAGGTTCCCGTCCCTAACTCGGGTTTCCCTGCCCAGCCTCTACCGCCCCACCCCCACCTCGGCCCTGGGCCCGATCTCCAACTACCTTGGGGCGCCGGTCCCGCCCCTTTTTCCTGCGCGTTCTTACCCAAGAACTCGTCCTCGAGACCGGCAGGCGGCAGGGTGATGCGAGTGTTGTGAGAGGGCAGCGTTCCCTCTAGCTTGGAGTAGAACTGGGGAGAGGAACAGCGGTAGAGAAGAGCAGGGTGAGGCAGGGGTCGCAGGGAAGTCCCCTTTCTCCCCACCGATTTCGAGATATACCCCGATTCCAGACGTTTAGCTTTTCTCGGGCCCAGCCGTGTCGTTCGTCCTTAGCGCGCACGCTGAGGGTCCCCTTACCCTGAGGCCTGATTTCGGTCTCTGGGGCTCCGCCTCTCGGCCTCTTGAGGCCTGAGCCCTGATCCCCCCAGCCCTGTCCTCTGCCCTCCTCGGACCCTCTGGAAGATGTCTTGGCTCAGCTCTGGCGCCTTGAACCTCATCCGTTGTCCCTAAAGCCCATTCCCATCCCATTTGCCTCCTTCCTGGCCTCCCGAGCTGTCCCCGGCTCCCTGGATTTCGGCCCCAGCCCCTGGCTGCACAGGCACCTTACTGTCCTCGATGCGGCGCAGCACCTCCGGCACGTTGTATTTTTCGACTTCCGCCTGCAGCTTCAGGAGCTTTTCCGCCACGAGGTCCATTAGATTGGGCAGATAGTCATCTGCATTGGGATCCAGCTCCTTTGGCGCGGAGCCGCGGGCCTCCTGCTGCTGGGGGAGGAACCAACCAGGTCAGCAGGGAGGGGCGTGGCCTCTGGGGGCAGGTTCCACTCGGAGGCGGGGCTTTTCCTCAGCACCATGCCTTTGAAGGTGAGGCACCACCCGCAGAGGTGGTGCTATCTTTTGTGATGCGGGACCACCTCTGTGAGGGCAGAGCCCCTAAACTCCAGACACACACAAGCGGTGCCGGGGGGGGAGGGTAGAAGTCTTTTCGTGGGATGGGGTGTGGGAGGTAATAACTCGCGAAAGGCCATTTCAGGGATGACCTTAAGAAATGGGCCGCTGCTGGGAGGAGGGTGGGGCCTCAACTGTCTCGGGCCGCTGCGGGATTGCAGCGGGATCCCTGAGGTTTTGGGCTGGCGGAGGCAGGTGGGACTTTCCCGTAGAGACCGGGAAGGGTCTCAAGTTCTGGGCCTCCTGAGGAGTAAGGGGACGTAGGGTGGGGCCTCTAAGGAGTGGGGCGGGGCGGGGCGGGGCGGGGCTTCCCCTGTGGGCGGGCCTATACCCGGGATGTCAGCACCCGGCACGGGGTGGGTTTCTCGAGTGGCTTCCCTTGAGTCCCGGTAGGAACTCCACCTGAGTGGCGGCACCGTCTTTTAAGTCCTGGGAGCTTCTAGGCATGGCTTCCTCGAGGGCGGGGCCTCCCAAGGTGACGTGGCTCAGCTTGCCCGCCAGGTGCTCCAGGCCTTCCTTGGCCGTTTCCAGCGTCCTCCTGGCACTCTCCACCTTATCCCGAGCCTCATCGCGTCGCTGCTCCTCCGCCTTGAGGCGCTTCTGTAACTCGACTATCTGCTTCTGCTCGCTGCAGGGTGCGGGGAGTTCGTCATTGGAGCGCCGCACGGCGCCGCAGCACCCCTCTCCACCCTCCCCCGGGCACCGGGGCCTCACCTCACCAGCGCGGCTTCCCCAGAGTACTTGAGGTCTTCCAGCTCCCGCTGCAGCCGCTCCTTCTCTTGTTTCATGCTCAGCAGCTTCTGCTCGTTCTCGGTTTTGAAAGCCTCCAACCGCGCAGAAATGTCATCCTGCACCAGGCATAGCTGCAGTAGGCCCTGCGGACCACCCAGTCCCGGTCAGAGCCGGGGCCTGGGCAGGCACGGGTGCATCCCTCCTCCTTATCCCTGGGCTTTCAAGAAAGGTGGCCTAAGCTGATGGCTTCTGCACAATGGTGTTAGGGAATCTGTGAGTCAAACTCAGGGCTGCCTCAAGGGTGGGCAGCCTCGGAAAAATAATTTTTGTAGGGCTCTCTTCCTTGTCTATATAAGGAATGTGAATCAGCCAAGTTAGCGTGGGGGGCAGGGTAGCAGTGAGCAATAGCTGCTTTCCAAAATCAACATGCTGGTTGCACACATCCTGGCATCGAATTTCGCCGAATCCCGAATTTCCCGAATTTCGCTGCAAATAGGGCAGTTACCAGGAGAGATCCGCCCTCCAGTCCGATCTCTGTAAAGGCCCGGTGCCTTTTAGTGCCCCAGATCACCCTATCGATCCAAGTCCCAGAACTCCTCAAGGGTGACCTCATGGGAGGAGTAGCAGGTTGGAAAGTGGCCAAAGAAACCAGACTTAGGGTCCAGCAGGATCAGTGTTTGCCAGCGGAGGACATAAGGATCTTAGAGATTTTTGAGAAAAATGCTTCAAAACACAGGACTCAAGGACAGGGGCCAGGAATGCCCGTGCCTGAGGATTAGCACTGGGTGGTGTACTGTTCCCCAGACCACAATACAGGCGCTGGAAATACAGCAGAGGAGAAACAAAACTCCCAGTTCTTGCAGAGCTGACAATGCCAAAGAAGTTAGCGCTGGTTCAAGAGCCAGCAAAGAAAGGGAGTAATGACGAGTGTAGACAGCTCGTTGTAGGTCTTGCTGTGAGGGGCAGGAGAGCAACGGAAGGAAGGGAAAGATGCCTCGAGAAGAGAGCAGGTTTGCGAACTGAGGCACTCACCGGGCAGGGAGGGGAGGCGGGTGTGTCGGCTTTCCCCGCCTGGGCTCGGCTTGGGTGCTCAGAGCAGGCGAGTTAGGCTAAGGGCACTCACGTGCTGGTCGGCCACTACGGGTGCGTCCTTGACCTTGTCGAGGAGCACCCCCATCTTGTACTCGCTCCAGCGCCGCCGCAGCTCCTCCTCCTTGGCGGGCAGGCTGTCCGGGCTCACATCGCTGTACGGCAGCAGCGAGTGCCCACTCTGGGTCTGCTCGCAGATTGAGGTCAGGGCCAGGGTCAGCTCTCGGACAGAGGCTGAGGGTGAGGGTCGGGCAGGGGTATCAGGCCAGGCGTCAGGGAGCGGGTAGGGCCCAGGCAGGGATCGGGGCTGGGCGGGGTCAAGAGGGCAGGGACGGGACCTGTAGGTCGGGGGCGGGCTGGAGGCAGGATCAGATTTAGGACAGGCTCCTAATCAGGTGGGGAAGACTGGAGACCCGCCAGTGAGTTAGGAGAGGGCTGGAGGCAACTCCAGCAAGGGAATCAGACGGGGGGAGGGTGGGCTCAGGGAGGTGGGAGGGACCCCGGCATCAAGTGGAGGTGGGGGCGGACGCAGGAAAAACACCACGAGCGAGGAGGGATATTTAGGGTGTGGGCCGAGTCAAGGCTGGGGCGGGCTGGGGTCACTGCAGAGCCAGGTCAAGGTTGGGGGGGCTGGGGCGCGCCCACCTCGACCTCGCTGTGTTGCTTCTGCAGTGTTCTCTCCTCCAGGCTCTTCCGGCACTCGGTTAGGTGACGCTCGCGCTTCTTGCGCTCCTGTGACATGGTCTCCTCCAGACACTGCAGCTCGTTCTGGAGGGGGGCAGGGGAACAGCAGGACCAGCTGGTACCTACTGTGGCTGAGGCAGTCGGAGCAGTGGGCCCAACTCAGAAGAGATGGGCCAGGCTGCCAGGTCCTGGGAGATAGATGACAGGGGCTCGGGGACCATGGTGTCTGGGCGGGACCTGCAGGGGCTGGGGAGCTGGCACCTTGGCGATATCCCTGGCCTTGAGCGCCTCCTGTTTCACCACATGCAGCTCCTCCAGCTCGTGTTCCGCCTTCACCACCTCAGCTTCCATGACGTCCACCCGGTTCTTCAAGTGACGGTTCTCTTCCTGGGACACGGGGAATGGGGCAGGCCTGTGACCGCTGTCCCTGCCAGTGTGGCCCCCCCTGCCTTTGCCCCCACCCCAGGCCCTCCTGGTCCCTACCTGTAGCTGGGCCTTGAGCTGCAGGTACACTTTGCTGATGCGTTCTGCCTCCCCCGCCTTCATCAGGGCCTTCTCCAGGCGGTTCTCCAGGGACCGCACGGTCTGGAGCAAAGCAAGGCAGGGCTGAGTCTGCTCAGCTCCTCCCCGGGGTCAAGAGCTCCCTGCGCCTCACCAGCCTCACCCTTGCCATCTCCGTGTTGCTATCTTGCGCCTCGGCCATCTGCTTTTCACGCAGGTGGTCCTCCTGCTGGAGCTCCGCCAGCCGCTTCTGCCGCAAGCCCACCTGATAGTGCAGAGCGTTGAGCTGCTTCACCTTCTTACTCAGCTGGTGGTCCAGGTACTCCAGGGCCTGCTGGAGGGAGGCGAACAACGGGAGGGGCCTGAGCCTCCCCAGCCCCTCCTCCCTTTCTTCTCCTGTATCTTGGATCTCATCTCCCTTTTCTTAATTGCATCTGACCAGTTGATTCCTCTCCTCCTGAAGATTTTCTTCAGCAGCTTCTAGGAACCCATATTCCAGTTTTCCACCCACATCTCTGGCTGCCCCTTCTTCTTTGCCTTTGGAGAGAGAACCCAGGCTCTTCTTTCCTCTATCCATACCTCCCTCCTTGGTGACCCTAACCCATCTCAGGATTTTAAAGGTCACTTATATACAAGGAAAATACCCAAAGTTAGCCCAACTGCAGGCTCATCTATCCATGCCTACACTGCCTTCCAGACATCTCTGCCAGCACCTCAAAACCACTGTCTCTCAAATCAAGCAATCGATCTTTTCCCCAAACCTGCCCTTCTCAAATCTTCTCCATCTTGCTTCATGGCTGAGCTCCATCATTCCAGGTGCTCAAGTGCAAAACCTTGATGTCATCCTCACCTTCTCTTTTTCTCTCCCATCTATGTCCAATTTTTAGTGACTCTCTGTTCTATTTCAAAGGTTCCCTCCAAAGTATTTCCTTCTTCCTATTTCCACCACTTTTGTCCAAGTGCAGCCAACCCTTTGCTTCTTCACAGTCCATTTTCCACTTCTCTGGTTCTTAGCATAAAATCTGCATTCTTCATCATGGCCAGCAAGGCTTGCTGCCAAGATTCAGCTCCTGCTGACCTCCCTGACCCCACATCCTAACAAGGCCCTGTACCCCGTCCAGCTACACTGGCCTCCCCCATTCCTACCCCAGGGACTTTGCACTTGCTATTCCCTCTGCCAGGAGCCCTTTTATCCGTATCATTTCCTGTTCCTCAAATATCACTTTCTTAGAGAGAAGGGCTTTGCTTACTTCTCATTTCCCCAATCTAAAGTGCAAAATCTTGCCGCCATCTTGTTCTAGTAAGCCACTGTTTTATTTTATTCATTTCTCCTGTCACTACTGGAAATTACTTGTTTCTCTCTATATATATTTTATGTCTGTTTTCTCTCAAAGGATATGAGGTTTTGGGGAGTGGGGATTTGGTCTTTTTTTTTTTACTGCACAGTCACCAACACCTAATACCATACCAGGCACTTGGTTGGTGCATAATTGAGTGAATAAATGAATGCTGGCTGGTGTGAAGAAGGGATTGGAGAGGGTGAGACTGGAGGCAGGGAGTCCAGTGGGGAGGGGATGGAAGCTAGAAATGAAGGGAGATGGTCAGTGGCAGGGGAGTGGGGCAAACCTGGCATGTTTTGTTCTTCAGGTAGGGCCACTCCGACTTCCATTCCTCAGTCACTGCCTGGACCACTTTCTCATCTCTCTGCAAGGAGAGGAACCCAGTCACCATGGATCCAGGCCACCTTTACTTGAAGCAGCACACTCTCCCGGGGATGCTGCCCAACCAACACCCCTGGAACCCTGCATCCAATTGTGCACCCTCACCTGGAGCAGGTCCTTCAACTGCAGCTGCGACATCTTGATGTTCTCATGGAGCTGATCGATTGTCTCCTGATTCTTCTTAATGGTCCCCTGGGTGCTCTCGTGAAAGGCCTTCCGGTTAGCCTCTGAAGTTGTGCATGGTGGGCAGGCACAAGCAGAGTGTCATGAGAGGCAGGGGGTTACTTCTCAGAGGGAATATTATAATATTCATAATATGATAATATTGACATAATATAATAATACTTCACTTTGAGTGAGAATTTATTACATGCTGGCTGCTAAAGAACTTTCCAGATATCAAATACCATATGCCAATAGGTGCATATCATGCCAACAGGCAGTACCATACCCATTTTACATGTAAGAAGACTGAGGCTCAGGCTTATTAGGTTGTCCAGGGTGGCAAGCAGTCTGACCCCTGGAGCCCACACCTTCAGCCACTATGCAAGTTGACCTCTTAATACTAATAAGACAATAATTATGGCTTACACCAGGATTTCCCAGCTTCTGCACAGCTGACATGTGGGATGGATAAACTTGCTGCCACCAGCTGTCTGTGTGTATCATCCTGTGAGGATTAGTATTCCTGGCCTCTACCCACTAGATGCCAGGAGTGGCCCCCTACCCTGAACAACGTGACAATCAGAAATGTCTGTAGACATTGCCAAATGTCCCCTGGGGAACAAAATAGCTCTCCTCCATTGGGAACCACTGGTTTACATCGTATAGTGTTTTACTCTGTGCCAGGCACTGTTCTAAGCATTTCACACACGTCAGTTGCCTATGGAGTTGTACTGTTACTGTCGCCATTTCACGGATGGAGAAACTGAGAGTAATTCAATTACTTAGTCCCCCAAGGTCAAACAATAAGTGTAGGCAGAGCCAGGATTTGAACCCAGCAAATCAGTTCTAGAATCTATGTTCTTCACCACTCCATGCATGACAGAAAAGTTGAAATTACAAAAGTACTAAATACAGTCCAGTTGGTTCTGAGCCCAGGAAAAGTTTTATGAGAGATAAGAAAAACCATTAACAAGGGTGAGTTTCTTTCCTCCAGAAACTGGTCACCTAAATGAATGCCAGTGGCAGGCCTTTGTCACACCATGCCTGGTCAGAGGGCAGCGTGGGTACTGTTGACTCCTGACCCTTCGGTGTCCTCTGGAGTCACCTTACCTAATAACTGTATCTTCCTTTGAAACTCAGCCACCTCCTTCTCCACAGCGGATGTGTGGAGGGGTCCCGACTTGGGGTGGGGTGGGGACCCGCCTTGAGTTGCGCCTTTGCCTTGGGGTTTGCGGCGCCTTCCCCGTGTTGGGCCGCGTCTGACCTCGGGGGAGGTGGAAACTTGGTCCTCAGCAGGCAGGGCGCTGGATGTGGCCGCCCCACACAGAGGAGACGTCATGACTAGGTTGGGGGTGAGGGCTCCTAGGGGTTAGCGGGGAAACTAGGAATCGCCCCAGTCCGAGATCCGTCCGGCCGGGTTCCCTGGGCTCTGGGAATGCACTCCCACCGCTTGGCTCGGCCTCCTAACTCCCGGTGGCAGTTAACCGTCTTCCCCGCTCCTCGCTCCGGCGTTTCCATGGAAACCGCTCGCGTTCCATTCCGCCGCCCTTATTGGCTAACGCTGCTGAGAGGGGCGGCCCCAGTAGGGGGCGGAGTAACGCTGTGCAGCAGGATTGTGGGGCAGGGTACTTTGGCTGTCACGTGCTAATCCTTTTTTTTTTTTTTTTTTNCCCTACCCCAGCGCTAGAGGTTCGCGGGCAATTTTCAGGAACTTTCTTTTCCTGCTGCTGAACTGCCACTCCCAAGATGGAGGCACCTTGTGCCGCCATTAAGCGTGTACCTTCAGAACTCTCCACTCCAAGGCTTCACAGTCTTATCCAAGATGGCCGTCTCGGTTGCCGGGGTTGGTGGTGAGTGGGAAGGGACAAGGGGCATTTGCCACTCCAAACATGGCGTCCCTGAGTTGCCGTTCCGGGGTGCAGCGTTTGCCGGAAGTGATGCATCCCACATATTTCCGCTTTGTTTTTGCAGGAGGAACCTTTGGCTGCTGGGCCAGGGGGGCCCGGTAGATATTGACCTTTGCCCTGGCTTCGTGTAGGTTATGAACTAGCGGGCGGGAGGGCACCCTAGTTTCCTATTGGGGATACCGTTGGGCGTGCGTCGCGAGAGGGACAGATTGAACCCTTTTGGTCTATTGGCGGGAATTGGACAGCCACCCCCACGCCCCCAGGGAGCAGAGGTTTTTGATATCCCCGCCATTGATGAGAACAAAGTAAGACTTCCGTCCGCCTGGCAGGACTGGGGAGACCCCCCTCCCCTATATTGGAGGCCGACTGATCTCCCACTGCCCGGAAGAGATGGAAGAACCCAATTGGCTGGAGGAAGAAGTGCTTGCTTCCTCTGGCTGCCAAGTAGCCCTCTCGCGCTGACCGGGCGCCCCTTTCTCGCTGCAGCGTAGGGACACAGCAATCTCCTGGCAAACTGCTTCCGCCTCCACAACCCGTTTCTGGCCTCCGAGCCTTCTGTGAGATGTTACTGTGGCTTCTGCTGCTGCCCGTGTGCTGGGCCGTGGAAGTCAAGCGGCCCCGGGGCGTCTCCCTCACCAGTGAGTCGGCCACTGGAGGTGGCTGTAGAGGAGTAGGGTGTGGGAAGGGCCGACTTTGGCGCCTGGGGTAGGCACTTAAAGCTTTCTGCCTCAGTTTGCCGGTCTCTGGGTAGGGTTAGTGGCAATGATCAGCTGGTGTGTAGGGGCAGAGGTGCCATTGGGTTGAAAGGGCTTCTTCCTGCCCTGGGCTGAGCCCCTTGTACCCTGTCCCCAGACCATCACTTCTATGACAAGGCCAAGCCCTTCACTTGCCTGGATGGCTCAGCCACCATACCATTTGATCAGGTCAACGATGACTACTGTGACTGCAAAGATGGCTCTGATGAGCCAGGTGAGTTTTTTCTCCATTCATTCATTCATCTATCGTCAGTTTATTGAGCACCTACTGAATGCCAGGCTGTGTGTGCTGACTAAGGCAGACCCATTCTTGCCCTCACGTGGCTGTTGATGAGGGGGAAACAGGTACAGAAGCCAGTGGTTGATGGTTTGGTGAGGAGAGGCTCCCACCCAGCCGGGGACGTCAGAGGGTGAAGTCTCAGCTGAAGCCTGAAGGGAGCTGAAAGCCGAGGGGCCAGCATGTGCAAACACTCAGAGGTGGGAGAGAAGGTGGGACCCAAGGACAGGCAGAGACAGAGTCTCCATGAGGAGCAGCAGGAGGGAACACTGGGGAGTTTTGTTTCAGGCCCCAAGTGCGTGGCCGCCTTTCCCTCCTTCACTTGGCGTGGGTTCTAGCATTTCTTGTGCTGTCTGCGTGAATGCAAATCGGGGGTCCATGTGGGGGCAGTGAACACATTGGTCCCCAAGCTCACAATGAAAACTTTCTCCTTCCCCACAGGCACAGCCGCCTGTCCCAACGGCAGCTTCCACTGCACCAACACTGGCTACAAGCCCCTGTACATCCCCTCCCGATGGGTCAACGACGCAGTTTGTGGTGAATGAGATGACACTGGGGTTGGGGAAAGAGGTGGGGGAGGGAGGGAGGAGGCACTGCAGAGGCTGATCATACCCCACCTGTGCCCTCAGACTGCTGTGATGGGACAGACGAGTACAACAGCGGCATCGTCTGTGAGGACACCTGTAGGTACGTGGTGACACCTGCTCCCCTGGGATTGCCTCACCCAGTGAATTGGGCCCCCTTTTTTTTCTGCTTTGGTATATTGAGTGCTTACTCTATGCCAGGTGCCTTATGAATGAACACCACATCACCATTTTTTCCTGTGGCCCGGAAGCAGGTGCAGTTGTTTCCCTGTTCGACAGAGGAGAAAGCTCAAGTTTAGAAAGGAAAATGACTTTCCCAGGGTCATGTAGCTAGGAGATAGCAGAGCCAGGACTCAAACCCATGTTGGTCTGACTTGAGACTCTGTACTCTTAATTGCTGTGCTCTGCAGCAGTACCTGAAAACCGAAATGCCCACAGGCAGGTAATTGAAACAGCGAGGTGGGTTGAGTACGAGGCATTAGGGAGTGGTGAGGACTGTGACATCCCAAGGGAGAGCTGCCCTCGGCTTCTGTCAGTTGATAACAGGTGGCAGGACCAGATTCAGATTCGTTTTTCAAAGAAGCCGGAAGTCCTGATCCTTATGCAAACCCTCTCGATGGAAGATTTCTTAAGTAAAGGGTGGATGAAGCACAATACACTTACTGGCCAAATTGCCTTTTTGTCTGGGAGTCTAATTTCTGTGCTTCTCTGTACTTTGGGAGCCTGATTCTAGTCCCATATTTCAGCATTTCCTAGTTCACCCCCTGACCCCAAAGGTGGGCGGCAAATCCTGCCCACTGTCCTTCCTCCCAAGGGCAGGGATGAGGGACTCTGAGGCCAAGAGAGCCTTGGGAGGTGGAAGGAAAAGGGTTGTTCTTTGCCTTTCCTAACACGGGAGTTGGGGCAGTAGGTGGGGTGAGCCCTTCTGGAAGAGGCAGACCTGGTGAGCCCTAAGTCACCCCTGCTGGTGCCTCTGTGTCCCCCCAACCCCAGAGAGAAGGGCCGCAAGGAGAGAGAGACTTTGCAGCAAATGGCAGAGGTTACCCGCGAGGGGTTCCGCCTAAAGAAGATCCTTATTGAAGATTGGAAGAAGGCTCGGGAGGAGAAGCAGGTGAGAGTCAGTCTGGAACGCAGGACAATCTGGGCCCTGAGGCCTGGAGGTGTGGGCTGGAGAAGCCAGGTGGGGTTGACGCCTGCCCCCAACTAGTGGTGTCCTGGGGCCAGTTACTACCTGTCTGCACCTTCTTTTACTTATTTGTCTACCGGGAGTTTAGTTGTTGGTTCAGCTTTTACCAAGTGGCGGCAGTTGGTACAGGTGTTGACCGGAGTCTTGGGTGGCAGGCTGCAGTGGGCTCAGAGCAGCTCTGCTGCCTTCTGGAACAGGAGGGATGCCTCACTGCATGCTGGTTCTGTCATTCGGACTCTGTAAGATGAGGCTGATGGCTGTATGACTTCCCAGTGGGGAAGACTCAGGGGGATGGCTCTGCAGTAGCTGGGTCTGTTCCATTGGGCGGTTCCCGGAGGGCCGGAAGAAGGTGTGTCCCCAGGTGTGTGTCTCCCTCTCCCCTGTCTGCCACCCTCTTGGCTGTTTGATGGGTCAGAATCCTCAACACTGTTCCTGGGCTCCTGCCTGACCCACTGAGCAAGGGCCCCAGCTCTGTGTCTCATTCCAGGAAGGTTCTGGGTCTTTTCCACCCCCATGGCCTGGCTCGTGAGGCCCCTCCTGAATTCAGGAGGCAGTAAGGTCTTCCCAGAGTTCAGAGCATAGTAGGGGAGCCATGCAGTGAGGATGGCCCCAAGTGATCTTCGCCCTACTGGACAGACAAGTGGGTCTTGGAAGCAGGCCAGGCTGAGGTGTCAGCCAAGGTCTTGGGAGGAAAGTGATCCGGCTAAGACCCTACAGCTTGGGGCCCCATCCCTAGGCAGTAGCACACTTGACACACTTGTTTCTTGAAATATCCCTAAAGCCCAGTATGTCCCAGGCACTGGGCATTAAGCTGGAAGCCGACCTAAAACGGTCTCAAGAGCACATCCTCTAGGGGGAGATACAGACAACAAAGTGACACCAGAGCCACCAGGGAAGGGACATTTGGGGTTGGGAGGCATAGAGGAGACTCTTTTCTTGGTTCTCCTTCCTGCTCCCCCCAATTCTGGGGGCAGGAAGTAGGGAAGACTTCCTGGAGGAGGAAGTCTTTAAACTGAAATCTGTGGGATAATTCAGAATTAGCCAGGCAGAGCATTCCAGACAGAAGGAAAACATGCAGAAAGAGCTGGAGCAGAGAGCATTAGGGAGTCCGCATATCATCAGGGCAGTTGGATCCTAGTGTTGGGGCAGATGGGGCTGGAGGAGTGGGTTGGGGTCTGGTTAAACAGGGGTCTGGCTAAACTGTTCGGGTTTCTCTGCGGTGGGCTGGGGGGATCTGCAGCAAGGGGAAGACCCAGGGAGGCATGTGTTTGGGGAAGATCCCACAGCCGCCCTGTGGAGTAGAGGCAGGGAAGTAGCAGCCATGGGGAAGAAAGCAGAACAGGAGGAGACCTGGCACCTTGCCTTCTGCCCACACAGAAAAAGCTCACTGAGCTACAGGATGGGAAGAAGTCCCTGGAAGACCAGGTGGAGATGCTGCGCATGTTGAAGGAAGAGGCTGAGAAGCCAGAGAAGGAGGCCAAAGACCAGCACCAGAAGCTGTGGGAAGGTACATCACGGGCTGGCTGTGACTTGTTCCGGCTCCTGGCTGGGAAGATGCTGAGCCTGGGTGACTCTTGCTCAGCATCTGTTACCTGTTGTCTTTGCTGGCTTGATAATTGTGTCTGAGTTCCCTGTGTGCCTAGTTATCTTTGACTGTGTGTTGGTCATCACACTTAAAAGTCATTTACAGGGGCATTCTGCAGCCGAGGACAAGAATTCCTTCTCTGAAGAGGAGGGGGCTTTTCTTCCTCCCCCCATGTGGGGTTCCCTGAAGTCCAAATCTCAAGGCTG